CTCGAACGAAACTGAACTTGACATTCAATTGCTTTGGCTTTTTGTGTTGGCCGCCCCTGACTTTGGACCACGAAACCGAGTCCGAGTGCGCAGCACGTGCCGATTAATGATAAGATATTATATTTTCCGCTCTTTCTCCGCTTTTTACAGGGAAGACATGCAGAAGGTGAATGTCAAGTTTCACGAGAATAACTACACCGTGTCATATCAGCATAAGAAGATACTGCAATTTGTTCCTGAACTGAGTATTGATAAGGACACGCCTATAACGACGCCCAATATTCCATTGCTGGTGAGGATTTTTAGCTAAAATTAATTGAATTATGCTTAAAAATTAATTTAATATTTAAAAACTTATGTTTAATATACATTTTTTACTTTATCAAATTCTCTATTATAACATTTTTGTTTAGTAATTAAATTTAAAAAACTCAATGTGCTCTATATCATTCTTAGAATCTAAGTTTAAATAATTTCTTAATTTCGGTTCTAATTTTTAAATTTCATTTTTGGCATTATTTTATGGTTTTAGATTATTTCTACTATCATACATTACATATTTTGCAAAAATTAATATATATTTTTAAAATTAATAAAACTATACATTTTAAAAACCCCCTTTTCCAATAGACCCTCACCAGTCTCAGCCCGAAGCTGGGATATCTTCTGTCAAAAACCATATCCGTGGTGGTGACGGCTGCTCAATTCAAGCCCTTTATCAAGGTTACTGCCGAGCAGTTGGCTTTTGGCTACGACGATGCGTTAGTTAGTTTGGCCCATAGGTTCTATCCAAAGCACATGAGACCCATGGAGAGGATGGGTCTGCTCCTGGGTCGTAACGGAACCCTCACTGAGGTTTCATCCGTTAAGACGGGCATGGATAGCATGGATCAGTTTGGTTATATAGACCAGCTGAATGGATTGGATCATCTGCCTCACTGGAGCGAGCCACCATGCACAAGTTTAGCTGGATCAGAAGGATCCTTCTTTCCGCCGCGGGAACTTACAAAATCGGAAATGGTTCATATCTACGATAAGGATCTTTGCCGGATTATTCCACTGAAATATGTGGAGAGCCTGGAAAAGGATGGCATAGCAGCGGATCTGTTCAGGTTGCCCAATAATTCTTATGGAGACTCCGCCCACAATCCCGAGAACAAGTGCTATGATTCCAGCGATTATGAGCCAATACTGGGTCTCCAGAACATCAGCCCCTGCCAATATGGCGCCCCCGTTTACATCTCAAATCCGCATTTCTTTGAATCCCACCCAGATCTTCTCGATTCCGTGGAGGGATTAAAGCCAGAACGCGAGAAGCATGAAACGTACTTCAAAATACAACCGGTGAGTTAAGGGAGCCCATTTCTTAAAAATATATTCCATTTATAGAACCCAAAAGTTTTTAAATTATGCTTTTTTTTCTAATGTTCTTAAAGTTTTTTTATGTGTAATGTCAGGAAGCTCAATTAGATTAAAAATTTATATAATAATGAACAATTTTAAGAAAAAATGCATATTAAATATTCTGGTTAACTAAGAAAAATACTTTTAGATTCCTACACGGTTTCAGTTTTATTTTATTTGGCATTCTTACGTATATCAAGAACTTAATTACTTTGTTTTTTTCCGCCACGCAGTTCTAATTTGTTTTCGTTTTTCTCTTAGAAACTTGGAGTACCGCTGGAGGGTAAAGTGCGGATACAGCTGAATCTAAAGGTGACGCGTGCCAAGGACGTCTATCCAGTGCGTGATTTTCGAGACTTTATCTTTCCGGTCATGTGGCTGGAAGAGGTGAGATATTAAGAACTAGAAAACCACTTAGAGAATCCATAAAAATCTGTAAATTTCAGGGCATCTCTGAGCTGACACCCGCCATCAAGCGGTGGATTTATTTGGGCACAGTTATAGCGCCGAGTGCCGTGCCCATCGGATCCTACCTGATGATCCTGGGCGGCGCCTTTGCCATTATCTTCAGCTTTGTGCGAGCCTATCAGAACTTCGTATTTGCCCGGGACCCCACGCTGGAGATCCTTGAGATGGGCAGGAGGTCCTTGAGGAGGGGAAGCAGTTTTATAGCCCATCAGCAGCACAGATTACTCATCCATCATCGGGATAGCTACTCCTTGCTAAGACATGGGCCCATGGCCACCTGTTTGGGCGAGGGAAATCGGGAGGAGGATTCGGAACCCATTATCGATGGAAGCCTCAGTGCAGGAATCAGTCAGGAGTCATAGTTGCAGATATAGGATAGTTATAGAACTCTAGATCCTTAAGGTGTGATTCTGTGTGCGAGAGAGTGTGTGTGTGTGCTTGGAATATTTAATTTTAGTTTCGTTCTGGCCAAAATCGTGGCATATACCTGACGTTCTTGCCACTACATAAGCATTATTATTATCCATTACTCAGTTTCCACATCGAAGGCAATCAATCATTATCAATCATCTTGCTGCTATCAACGCCAAAACGGGTTTGCTAGTTGCTAGTAACTTGTAACTTGTATCTTGTAGATAGACGTATGAATTTGTATACATTTTTGTCACAGGAATGCTACAAATAATTCACTAGTCAATGATTACAATGTGAAAAATGCAAGCACTCATTTCTAGTTTTGTTAGCCGTAAATCTTAGTTAGATCTTAGATGTAAACTATATTTTTTATGTATTTGTTAAATAATGTTTAGGCTGAGGATGTACGAAATTTTGTAATATAAATGTGAATTTTGAAATTTTATGGAAGATTTTACTATTTTTACTGGCTTAAATGGTTTTGGATTATCAAAATAATTCTTTCAACAATTTTTAAAATTAGTTCTTTGGTTCAACAATTTTAAAATGAGTCCCCATAATTCTTAAAATTTTCTTTAGACCCCATAAATCCAAGCCAAAAGCATAAATCTGCTTGTTAACAGCAGATTCTCCATCTCCGAAGCTTTGGCAGTTCCCAGAACAATTCCTGGCTCTTATAAATCAAAAGTAAATAAAAAAAGCAGGACTCTAGAAAAATGCACTAGAAAATAAACAAGGGATCTGGCTTTTCGTTCCCTTGAAGTTTTTGTTGATTGACGCACTTTTGACGTTTCCACAATTCCACAACTCACACAGCCAAGCATTTTTCGCCTTTCCCCTCTAAAAGAAAAAAATCTGAAAATACCCACACGCACACGGGTCGTATGAGCAATAAATTATACACAAGTTCTAGGAAAAAAATAGTGGCCTGAGTGGGGTGGTTGGCTAGTTTAGACCACTTGGGCTGGGCTTTTGTTTCGGAAATAAAAAACAGGCACAAGAAATATGATGTTTTGCAATGTTTGCACACGGAGGGGAAAATGGAAAAGAGGGAAACCGAATCAAAAGAATGAAATTTCATGGCAGGCAGGAGGCAAGCGGCAAACGGAAAACGGCACAAGTCGTAAGAAAAGCGTTTTCATTTCATTTGGCAAAAATGTTTATACAAAACCAATTTTACAATTTTCGATTCAATTTCTGTTGCTGACATTTCACTTAAACGAAAACCTTAAAGGCGCAATTCATTTCGCCGGCTTTTGTGAAATGGAAAGGGGGTTTCTTCTGCGTTCCTGAGATTTTTGCCCCCGAGGCAGATTGTAACGAAATGCGGCAGCAAAAGGGCGTGGCCAGCTATATAGCATACCCAATATTATAACCAATATCCACGAATAGACCATGAAAAAGTTGTTATGCCTCTCTAATTTGCCTCAGCCACTTGGAAATCCATAAAATGGCGAGTGATAAACTAATATTCGCAGGCAACATGTGCTGCCAAAAGCGCCATAAATGTAAGCCACACACATCCACCCTGATAGAAATCCCCAAAACCCCCCTCCTAAATCCTACAATATTCCCAATGAAATGGCCGCTAAACCTCAAGGACAACAAAAGTTAAAAATTCGTTTATGGCGCACCATAAAATCGAATAAAAACAATTGGCACATCAAAATCCACACCGAAATGCCCGAGATCTTCATTGCTTTTGTAGATGGTATGGGGAAATGGGGGTGGGTTTCCTTCTGGGGTGACCTGGAAATGCGTGAGTACAATTGGAAAAATTCTGGCCATATGTTGCAGGCGGCAAAAAGATGGCGAAAGAAATGGCTCAAGTAAATAAAAACAATCAAAGTCAGGAAGTTAGGAGCAAGTCGCAGTTTTAGATGCTCTGAAAAATTTTTCGTTTGCCTAAAAGCAGACTATTAGAATTGTTATAGTAATTTTTAAAAAATTTCTATTGCGTTGATTTCAAATCGCTTTTTCCTTAATTCTGTATTAAAAATATAAAATGTTTTAAATATTTCCCGTAAATATTTTTTTAGTATTAGGGAATTTTAGAATAAGAAATTAATCTAAGGTTTTAGATGAAGAAGATTTTTGAAACATCTTTTTAAATATATAAATTACTTTCCAAACTTTAAAATACATTTTTCAAAAATTAACATTGTTTTTACTTTATAACTGAAATTTTTGGCTTAAGCATCATCAAAATATATTCAACCCCCTAAAGAGTATCCCCCGAAGTCAAGTGAAATCCCGTCCCGGGGTGGATTCCCTGTCGAATCTGGAGCGATTTGCTCGGCGTCAGCTGGTTGGCCACTTAGGCCCGTGATGGAATTGCTTATGAATTATACAAGAATATTAAAACGTGCCCCGAAGGAGAGCCACTTGCACTTGCCACGGATCTTTTCTGGCCCGGGATATTTCAATTGCCTCCCACTGGATTCGATTCCCTTCTTTTCCTCGAAATACTTTATTGGAAAAGTATGTGCCAAATGGTTATTGAAAAAGGAACGGGGCCCAGGACCAAATCCAGATTAAGGACAAACAAATTGGGCGCTAAGTTGTCCGTTATGGGTTTTTATGTGTGGGTGGGATGGTCGTCATAATTTGATTTTGCCTAGTCCAAAATTCGGCTGACCTTGATGATGATGATGGCATAATTGGGGCGGCCATTTGTGGTCGAAATAAACATTGATTTTATGTTTAATATTTGTACATGTTTATTGTTTATGGGTATATAATTTACAGGCAGAGCTTTAGAGTAGCCCTTTTATTATTTTTTAACTTAATCGAATCATACATTTAGGCACAAGCTATTCACACGAAATGTTATTAAATTAAAGTTTTTAAAATCCAAGCTTACAACTACAAGTTGGCATTCAGTCGGGCAAAGTGGCATATACAAAATCATTCACTCTTCTCTGACTTGCACTCACAAAAAAACACACACATTTCTTCATAATTCCAGCTTAAAATCGTTTAAATTATAACTCCGAAAACTTTAGGAAAAACTTTAAGCCGAGTTTCACCCCTGGTTGTTGCACGAACTAAGCTTGATTGGTTGCTGTCTTGGCTGTTTGAAGGTTTTTCCTCAGTGATAACGAGAAAATTGCGATATACTATCTTCATTTGGGGGAGCCACCAGCAAAATGGGTTGCAAATTCAGGCCAGTAATCCGAGGATTCGATTTCCTCGAACCCGCCAAACTAATGGCATCTGTGAGATATGCATTGTTGATTTCACCTGAGGGAAATAAATCAGAAATAAATTATCTTTTCAGGGGAAAAATAGTTTTAAACCCACCTTTGTAAAGCGAGTTCTGATAAATCGGGTCTGGCTGCAGGCGCACGTGCCTCGTGGCCAAGATAAACGCCAAGGTGGCCAAGACCACACCATCTATGCAACCGATTATGGCCAGCGGATAAGCCCATCGAATACCGCAGAGACCCAACTCAAAGCGATTCGCTTCCGGGCCACAGATCTTACGGAAATCATCCGAGTTCCAGCCAAAGGGAAAAGCAGCACAGGCCACAATCATACAAAGAGCTAAAATAAATAAATAATCATTTTTTCAAAAAAAATACAACGCGTAATAAAACAAATCAAATAATCAACATAAGAAAACACCAAAAAACATTGTCTACACAAGAACGTGATGTTTTCGATATGGTTAACAAAGAGATATAGTGGGAGATAGGTCACTCTACACATACCTGATATAATTTGCATCCAACCGCAAAGGTGGAAAACACGCGTCGACTTCATAAACAGCAAGCAAACCAAGAAAAATATGGTCAACAAGGCCAGAGCGATGGCGCCCAGCATGAAGAATGTGGCCAACTGAAAATGGGTAAATAAAAATAGAAAATATGGTCAAATGAGAACTTGTCGAGTAATCATAAATGGGTATTTTGTAGGTTGGGGGTTTCATATTATTTTAAATTTAAGAAAGTTTTTAAATAATTTGCTTAAGTTAATCAAGTTAAGTTATTCACTGAATTTAAAGTCTTCTAATATACATAATAAAATTGTTAATTGCTTTTATTGTCCAAATTTAAATAAACAAACTCATATTTGTATTTTTACTATAATACTATTATTTTTGAAGCTTTTCAGATTATTGTCTTTGTGTGGTATTTTTAATGGTGTTAAAACAACATAACGAACTAAATTATTATGTTTATTAAGCTTCATCTTCTTAGTTATATTCTTTAAATAGCCAAAAAAAATATTTTTAATTTCTAATTATTAATAATTATAATTTACGCTACTTATTTTACCTGAAATGAGAATGTGGGCACTTCGAAGATGCTCTCCCACCTTCTTCGGCAGTTGTCGAAGATCTCGTCCCGCTGGCACTGCTGCCAAAGACCCAAACGACCTGCTCCATCGTTATCCGGATCTCCAATCCACTCTAAAAAATATAGAAAAACAAATCATTTATAGGACTCTTTGCAATAAATAAACCTCAATTAGTAAACCCACCTGGCGTCACGAATGCCACGATGCCAATAATCGCATAGCAGATGGTGAAGATGGCCCACAGCACGCCGATCGCCTTGGAATTGCGGATGTACTTGGAGGCGTACAGATGCGTGGTGTCCACGTACTCGATCTTCGTTCCCATTTTTTAGAGAGTGGGGAATGCTGCTTTGTTAGCCTGTGAATGGAATAAAATGGAATCGAGCGTGGTTAAGTGCTTGGCGACCAACATTTCGTGGGTAATAATTGGAAGATGGAACCAAAGCAACCAAAGCAGCTCCAACAATTGCGTTTCTGTTGGTCATAAACCGATTTTTGTGGGTACTTCTTTCTTCTTTATATAAGCTGATTAAATTGGCCAGCTTTTTGGTTTGATGACCTCGCGCGGAAGAGTTATGCTTTCGAGTCAGGGAACTCTGAGATGCTGATGCAATCGCCTCTTTCCAAAATAACTGGCAAATAATAACTTTCCATCAATCTGCATGTGTCGTGTCCACTCAAGAAACACATTTTCAAATCATTAAACAAGATTTTTTATGAGGTTTTCCCCTTCACTTCAATCAAAACACACATTTGTTCATTCGAATGCGAATGATAATCTCGAAAAATGAAAAAGAGGAATATTTGGCTGGGGGCTACACTTTTTAGCTTTTGCTTATGTAAATCGGCAATTATTTGGCCCAACAAAAACTAACGACTCTTTCGAATATATTGCCTCATATCTGCCACTAATTCTATGTCAAAGGGAGAGAGCCATTATGCAAAATGTTTTACGTGTGTCTTGACTGCCTAATTTTAGCCATGATTCATGGCTCATGGCTCAAACTGGCTGGCGATCAATAAACTTGTTTGCGATTCGGTCAAAAATTTTATTCAAAGCAAAATGCAATTTCATTAGGTTTTTTCTGGTTGGCTTCCATCAAGATTTCCCAGCCTTAAATTTATTATATTTATTTTAAAGTTGGAACCGAGGAAACTGTAACACAAAGGTGAGAACTACCACAAAGGGAACTTGGTCAAGATTGGTTCATTAAGTTGAATTAAAGCCATGGCAAACAAAGCGAATAAGACTCAATTATGGGAGCTGGAAGTTGGACTTCAGTTCAAGGCAAAAGTGGAATCGATTAACACAACAATGCTAAGCAACAAAAGAGAGAGTCGGAACCGAAGAACAAACAAGTAAACATCGAACAACGAGCCCAACCCAGTAACATATAGAAAACTTTCCTGCCGGCACGTGATGATAACTTCGGCTAAAACACAAATCGAATTGTTGGAAAATCTTGTCCGTGACTCATGGACTCATGGAGCCTGAAAAGCGAGTCTCTCGGGAAAATTGCACTCGTCTGGTCGAGACAAACCGCAGACGATGTCTAATAACTTCCTTTATCTCCGTTGGAGTTTGTAGATTGTAGTTTGAAGTTTTCTGTGGTGTAATTCGTAATTTGCAGTTGCTTTTTACTGTGTTTTCTTGGGTTGGGCGTGTAAAACTTAACTGCATTGCTGGTTTTTCGGATTCGAACGTGACCAAAAAGAAAGTGACCACTGGAGAGCCTTCTTCCAAGCGTTCGTATGACGCAGCAAAATCGGTGGAGTCGAAGTCGGAGTCTCGCCCGACTTGGGTTACATCCGCTCACCGGCCGGCGGCCAAGTGTTCCAACATTTTGGACGAGTTTCACTTGCACAGCAAGAAATATGAGGGAAATATTACAAAATTGTAATTTACAAAAAGAATCTAGATGAAAGATCTAAAGAAATTAAACATCTTTTAAGATCCTTATGAATTTTATCATAAAATTTTCACCTTTAAAATAAAAATTTTAAAATCGGTTAAACATAAAAATTAAACAAAAATATTAATCTTGCAATAATTATTTTTTATAATGGTCGAGATTATTTAAGATTGCCGATTATAAAGTATTATTAAGTATTAAGTAAGTATTATTAAGTAGCTTACCAACAAGTTTCATAATAAACCTCACTTTATTATTCATTTAATTCCACAAATATTTTATATCAAAAGATTTGAATGAAATATCTTTAAATATAAAATACCACATAATGAAACCTCATTAGCCCTTTTGATTGTTTACAAAATCACCAATGAAAATTGTAATTTTAATAGATATAACATAACAATTATATCTTACTTTAAGATCATCTGATTTCATTTGACCTATAAATATTGATTTTAATTTTGAAATAGCTACACTTGGGTTTGGTATTCCAACAACAACGAAGAATAGAAATAAGATCAGTTTGACCTGCATATCAAATCATGGTTGTTTTGTTTCCTGTGCAATACAATAAAAACCCAAAACAAAAACTCGCTGAAATTAACAGCTTTGGGTGAATTGCAATCTCAGCAATTACGTTGACTTTTTCAGCTGAGACTGCAGACTGCACATACGTCGAATGAGCGACGAAATAAGGTCAGTTGGGTAATGGTAATACCTTAAACGTGGCTAGCGGCTAACTGTGAAAAATGCTACTGCGATTGCAGTGGCAGTTGCGAAAACTGCACTCCAAAACGGCGATTGGCTTTCTTTTCTCTTTGGTCATTCCACATACTATATCCATCTCCCTGAGCCTCAGATGACTTTCTACTTTATAAACATAAATTGCACATTAGGCACACAGACGACAGAGGACAGACGTCCGAAGAGGTGAGTTACCCGTGTCTGGGGCGGCTTTTGGCTTTGAAATGGGGGTTCCCTCACCTCGTTAGACCCCGAAACAGGAAAATAAACTACCAAAAACACCGACCAATTGGCCACACACTTGTAATTAATTTTCACATTTTCCACTTTTCACCGGCTAAGCTAAGGGGAAAATCTCTCATTGTTCCGCTTGGCGATTAGGGAAGCACTATGTAACTACTTGTATGGCTTGTTATGGTTTTTGTTTTGGCCAACAAAGTGGAACCTAAAGACTCGTGTTGGTGCCAGTGGCTTGATTAACACGTTCGTAGTTTCTCAAAAAAAAGTTGCTAAATTTCAACCACCACCATTCGAAACTGGTTCCTACATTTCAGAATTATGCGGAAATGGCGTTTTAAGCGGGGCTCTTGTTCCATGTTTTTATTTCGCCCATTTCTTTCGGGTTCGAGGTATTTTTTATTTTTGGTGCGATGATCGTTTCTGCATATATTTTGTTCGGAACAGACGATTTCTTTTTTTCCAGGGAGAACCAGAAAACGGAACGCTATGGAAGACACCTGGAGAACCGGCAAAAAACTATACTTTTTTTCTTTTTGCGGTCAGTTACTCAATGTATATTGACAGCCTTTTTACAGCTGCCATCCATCTTGGGAGAAGCCCGCTTTTTTAGCGAGTTTACTTTTTGCGAAAGTTGGTGGCATCCACATCCACAGCCACACGGCCCCTTTGAAGAGTCTCCAATCCAAATCCAAAAGCATCCAAAGCTGGTCCGCTCACTCACTCGTGGGCCTGTGTGGTATGTGTCTCTGTTTTTCTACGTTTTTTATTAGATCACGATTTGGATGTTAGCAAACATTCGCGCATACCAAGCTCCAAAGCACGATGAACGGGGCTCCCAAACTACAACTACAATGGGGGTCTCTCTATACATAATAGTAACTCACAGCGAGATTCTTCACTCTACCAAAAATCAGGAGCGGATGAAGGTTCTTTGGCAATATCATTAGAAAGATATCGTTTTAAAAGAGTCCTGAAGATCTTAGTTTTGGAAATAAAAGTATAATTTTAAAACAGTCCTGAAGATCTTATTTTAAGGCCTTAAACAAAATCTTAAACAGTTTTAGGAATGCCTCAACTTATTCCTTTCAAACTAAAAACTAATCCCATGCAATAGCAAGGAAATTATTATAACAGCGCTTAAACAATTTCCTGTTATAATAAAAACATACTATCAATCTAAGTTTTAACCCCTTTTTTAACCCCAAATGTCAATGAATTTTTCCCAACTAGAGTCTCCGAAATAATACCATAAATCCACCAAAGTTCGGCAGTAAATTTCCCTTTTTTTCAGCCTTTTCCAAGCGCCCTATTTCCATGCCCTTCACCACGAAGGCCGCCACCGCGCAGCCGCAGAAGTTTCAGTCGAGATGCTCGTTTGCCTCAAAAAAAGAAGGAAAATATAAAAACAAAACCCAACAGAAAAACAAAAAAAAAAACTGTGCCTCTTTCTGGTTTTTCACGTTACTCGGGCGCGCGGTTTCTGTTGTTGTTGCAGTTGCAGTTGCAGCAGTTGTAGCTGTTGCAGTTTCAATACGCACGTCTTCACATTGCCAAGATATATGGGTATGTGTGTCTGGCACACCGAAAAAAAATGTCCCTTTAATTTACATAAATTTCAGATACGATGCAATATAATTTTCCGTGACTAACATTTTAATTTTTTGAGTTTTAAAATATATGTAATATTTTAAACTGATCCTAAAAATGTAAATTTAATTTTCTAAGCTGTCAAAAATTTCTTTACAATTGTTGTATAACAGTAACATTTGTTTTAAATTTTCTGTATTTTTTTAAAACTTCTATAACTATTTTTCCAAGTGTGCAGATGCATGTGTGCGAATGTGAATGTGATTCTGCACTTTGCAATATTGTTGCTTTTCTGTCTAATGTTGCATGTATATATATTAATTATTTGTAGGTTTTCACGTTTTTATGTTGCTTGAACTTTGCTGTTTCAGTTGTTATTGTTGTAACTGCGATTTGGTTGTTTATGGCTGGCTTTATAGTCGTTTTCCGACTTTTTAAATGGCAAAAACGGGGCGCAGTTTTGGTCGGCTGACATTTACTTTTGCCGTTAAGATCGTATTGAATTTGAGAATTTGCAAACTCTAGCTTTTCCATGCGTTATTTGGTATTTGGTTAGCTTACGTTGGATTGAGAACAGGTTTCGGTGTCGATTATTGTTGTTATTTTAATTTACTACTATTGTTCGCGAGTTTGCATTAATTATTAAGCGAAAAATCGCGGGCAGAGAATTCGAATTCGATCCGCTTCTTCGGAAGAAACCGCTAAAACTGAACCGTCGCGTTCGGCGCTGAGAAACGAACTGAATATTTCTTGGCATTGGGAGTCCAAGATACAGTCTCACATAGATACTCACATTCACCTGTAGCTCACCTAAGAGTGTGTTTGTATAAGTGGGAGAAAGAGAGAAAAAGGTAGAGAGTCCAGGTGAGAGTTCCCGATCTTGGCCCGCCTTTGATAAGTGCAACGAAAATTGTTGGCATTTCTTTTCAATCATTTTGCTCGATAAATAATGCAGCAATGAATGGAGTGTGAGTGTCTTTCCCTCGAAGAATTGCTGAGATTTCTCCACTTATCGTTTAGATAGCATTGAGATCTTGAGGAAAAGAGCCTGGGGAAATGGTGAAAATTCGGGGGAGGTTTTCCATTGCTACCTGCAGGATGTTTGCCGAATTCCTTGAAGCGATTTCTTTGTGCAAGAAAATGGGAATACAAATGTTTGGTTTGGGAATAGCTAGCCAGCATGTGTGAAAGATTACAGCTCTGACATAAAGGTGGAAAAATAAAAGGAACAAAGAGAATTTATTAAAAGAAAGGAAATGTCATAGTCATAAAAATGTTTAATATATTCTTTAAGTTCAGTTTAATGTAACTAATTTCCTGTTGCTTTAAATATTTATTTTTAAGTCAATGTACAAAAATATCCTAAATATTAACAGACTAATTATGTTAAAAATGGATTTTAATATTGTATATGTATTTATAGCAACATAAATTTAATGAAATATTTAAAAATATTATATAAATACTACGTACATTTACTTACTTTTTATTTTGAATGCTTAAAGTTTTTACATTTTTTTATACCCTTGCAGAGGGTATTATAATTTTGGTCAGAAGTTTGTAACGCAGTGAAGGAGACGTTTCCGACCCCATAAAGTATATATATTCTTGATCAGGATCAATAGGGGAATCGATATAGCCATGTCCGTCTGTCCGTCTGTCCGTCTGTCCGTCTGTCCGTCTGTCCGTCTGTATGTCTGTTTCAATACCGTTTGCGAGCTCAGTTTAAAAGCTAGCGCCTTGAAACTTTCACAGTCGTCCTAAAACATGTGTACGCAGATCAAGTTTGAAAGCCGACCCGATCGGACGTCTATATCCTATAGCTCCCATAGGAACAATCGGATATAGCTTTCACAATAATGAAGATATTTCGCTCAGTGTAAGAGCTATTGGCGTACCTTGATTAGGGTAAAAGCGCGTGCCGATCGGACGTCTATATCTTATAGCTCCCATAGGAACAATAGGGTGAAATCGGTCAAAATTTGACGTTTTTCAGGATATTTCGCGCAAAATATTAGCTATTCCCATGAAACTTTCCAAATCGTATTTTTTTGTGCGTACCTTCATTAGGGTAAACGCGCGTGCCGATCGGGCGTCTATATCCTATAGCTCCCATAGGAACAATAGGGTGAAAAATTTTAAAATTTTATTTTTTCAATTATAAAATATTTTGTTGTTTATTAATTCATGTTGCTAGTCTAGTCAAGTTTTAATTCGTAAAATCTGCAAGGGTATTAAAACTTCGGCTTGCCGAAGTTAGCTTCCGTCCTCGTTTGTTAATGTGTTTAACATGTTTTAAATTAAATTTGGGGTTGATTAATTCTTTTTAAATAGAACACACTACTAATATATATATATAAATTTCATCCAGAAATTTGTATTTTTTTATTTCTTTTTATTTTTATATCACACTTGAATTTCCTTATCCACCTCAAATCGAGCGCCCAGCGAATTCAACACGCTCGTTCATCTCATAAAGTATAAAGTGTCTCCCATCTATAGCAACCACCTCCCCCGATAGCAGCTGACTTATCAGCTGTTCCCTTCCACCAATCCGCAGTTGGGCACGCACTCACGTAGTTCTGAAATCTCAACGAAAACCTCTGTAAAAATTCCCTTACACTTAAGAAGACTGAAAGCAACCGGGAAAACGAAAGAAAGATGAGCCCAATCAGTGCGGAAGACAAACTAAACTATGTAAAGTCCAAGATTGGCGAGTATCCCAACTTCCCCAAGGAGGGCATTCTGTTCCGGTGGGTTATTGCTCTATCAGCAGACGAGGTTATCTGCACTAATGATGTTTATGCACACAAAGAAAAAACTTGGTAAAATCAACTGTAATAATTGTCAAACAGGCCCCAACCAGCAAAATTGTCAATTCTACTAAGTAAATTGTCATTTCACAACAACAAAATACACACAATTAGCAAAGACACAAACCCAAAGCAAAAACAAAATACGCGTAACTATTTTAATAGTAACGTAACTATCTTTGTTGGTCAATTTTACCAAGCAAATTTTTTTGTGTGTGGGCAAACAAATGGGGCTCTTATCAGGTTGTTAATGTGTGGAACCCTCTGTTTTTCATGTAAAACATTAGCGATATTTTTGGTGCCCTAACCGATCCCAAGGCCTGTGTTTACTTGAGGGATTTGCTGGTGGAACACATCAGGGAAAGCGTTCCCGAGGCGGAGATCATCGTGGGTCTGGACTCCCGGGGCTTCCTCTTCAATCTCCTTATAGCCACCGAGTTGGGTGTGGGATGTGCCCCCATTCGCAAGAAGGGAAAACTGGCTGGAGAGGTGGTTTCCGTGGAATACAAACTGGAGTACGGCAGTGTGAGTATCTTAAAATATGGTAAATATATAAAATATAGCTAAATATAGTCCTAAAGTTCTATTTATAATATCAAGATCACTTCTCCCATTTTAGGACACCTTCGAGCTGCAGCGTTCTGCCATTCAGCCAGGCCAGAAAGTCGTAATCGTAGATGATCTACTAGCCACAGGTGGTTCCCTATTCGCTGCCTCCGAACTTGTCCGCAAAGTGGGCGGCATTGTGGTGGAAAGCCTGGTCGTTATAGAACTAGTTGGCCTGGAGGGTCGCAAAAAACTGGATGGAAAAGTGCATTCCCTCATTAAGTACTGAGAGTTAATCAGTAATCAGAGTTCATGACAAATACCTTCCACATTTGCATTTACCTATTACCTCTCTCGATGGGACTTTTCAGCTAGCGAATTTTTATAAAAACTTTGAAATGTTATTATTTTACGAAACAGAGGCATATTTTTATAACAGAATATATTTGGAATTGAAAACGGAAGTTTTTAATCTATTGATGGAATTTGTAAATTAGCTCAGTTTGGAATTGACTAAGAACTGATAAGGTGGGTGAATATATAGCTATGTATTAAATTAATTATACAAAACCATGTGCTTCGGCATAAACTGATGTGAATATTAAGAAAATAATCGCATGCTATTTTTGGATATTTTTTAAAATTAATTAAATTAGATGAATGCTTTCTTGGATTTTGCTATCATCAATCATCTGTCAGGGAATTTATTTATTAACAAGAGCTGACGGAGAAATATTTTGAATGTACATTTATTTATAAATTTGACATACTTAAAAGAAAATAAATTGACGGTTATATTCAGCTCATTAAATGTTAATTTCCATGTATGTAAGCAAGACCTGTGACTATTTATTCTTAATATATTTTAATTTATTTATTACTTTATTAAAATTGATATTAAAATTTAAAGCAAAACCCCTGAAAGTATGCTACATATTTCAATTTTGTGAATTAAAGAAAAACGTATATTTATTTATATTTAGAAAGTATTCAACTAATAAATGAATAAGGCTTTAGAATTCTGTTCTATTTTTAGATCGAAAACTTTAGAGTCCACCCACGCAACCCTGTCCGCAAACCTTTTGCATGCCGCTCTCTCACTGCGCACTCACTGCACTCTCTCTCTGGACTTTCTGTCTCCCAACACTCTCCCATTTACCGTTACCGGCGCTTTTTGCTCAGCAATAAACAAAAATTGTTGTGCTGCGTTAACCCAGAATTCCGAGGAATTTCCACCCCCCTCTCGCCACAGCCGCCCGTTGATAAACAAATCAGAGGTTACCACCCACCAAAGCAACCACCCCCAAAAGAAGCCACCCAAAAATAGCAACAAACACACGGGTAAACAAGGCTCAAGGAAGAATCAAGGAATCAAGGAGCTGAGGAATGGCAAGCAAAAAAAAAGAAGAAGAGAGGAGAGAATAAAAACTGGCGAAATGAAACCGAAAACTGAAACTGCGCTGCTGCTGCGCTGCCGGCGTCGCTGCTTTTAGCCTGTGCTCATTTCGCATTTGATTTTGATTTCACTCGTGAAATGTGCGTTGTGCGGTGATGACGCTAACGGTTAGTGTTTGTTGTTCTCTATAAAACACCTCCCCCCACCCTCTAAAAAATAAAAAAATATTATAATCAAAGCACGCCTGGCGAATTGATATTGATTGCGCGCTTTTCTTCAATTGGCAAACAATTGAATACAAAAAACTACTAAAAAAAGTCGCCCTCCATTAATGGAGGCTCATCTTCCCCCTTGTGTTTGTTGTTGTTTATTGTTGTGAAAAGAGAGAGGGAAAGAGACGAGAAGGGCGAAGAGAAGAGAGAGGGCACATAAAGCAAGGCAATTGACAGCACGTTACGTATACGCCTCTTACGCCCCGCATTTTGCATTTGTTTGCCAAGTTTGCTGTTTGCTCGAGTGTGCCTACAAATTATTAATAAACAATTAGATGCAAGTGAAGAAACATTGCTTAAGAATAAATAAGATGGCTCTAAATGCAAAAAACATTAAAAGAAACAGATAAAGTGAATATAAACAAAGCCAAACCATTTAAAAACAAATAAAAATAATTAAATAAAATAGTATTTTTCATATCTACATATCCCAAAGTGATTTTTTTACTGAGTAAAACTAAAGCCTACAATATATTATATATTATCCATAAAGCTAATATCCAAAATAAATAATAATAAAACGCCTTCAAGCTAAATACAAAAATCCAAAAATATATAGAAAGTGCTTTAACACAAACCATTTATTTATAAAGAGTTTAAGGTCAGCAGAAAAGCGGTGAAAAAAATACAAATAAAAAAACCCGAGCAAATTGAAAAGCTTGCAAAAAATGAAAACGAAGTGCCATGACTTTATAAACATAAACAGACAAAAAGAAGAGCAGTGAATATAGGGGGTGTTTTTGTGACTTTACAAGGCCTACAAACGGAGTTTGAAGTGGGAAAAAAAACAATCAATAATAAAATAAATAACAAAAGGAAAGTCAACAGTTTGCTGTAAGTGTAAATAGAATATTTTATGATCTTAAAACTTGAAAATTAAAATAAAGACTGACAAGAGTAAAAGGCAGAAAATTAAAAGAAACACGAGACAATGAAATGAAAACAAAAGAGAAATTGTAGACTGAAGTGCAAAGAGTTGGCAGGCAGACAAAACGAAGAGCCAAGAAGTAATTTATGTAGGGGTGTTTTTCCCACACAAACTCCACACGAAATACCTCAAGTTGCACTGCCGAGAAATGGAGTTTTGAAGTGAGCAGAAAATCAATAAACGACTTCCTTTTATGCAGCCGAAAAATGTATTATATAGAAGGCACCCAAAAACAAAGCACCCCCGACAAATATGAAATAAAAAACTGAACAAAAGCGGAAGCGAATCAATTGTTTGGCCCGAAACTTTTAGCCCCCGACTGCAGTGACACAATTTTTGGTCGAAAGCCACTCGACCATAAAGCAAAAACAAAAAACTGTCATCCGCGACGCTCACTCAATATATTTTTGGTTTCCGCTCTTTTTTTTGCTTTTTATTTGTTTTTGGTTAAGAACATTTAGCACAGCAAACTAAATTTAGCCAGCACGACGTCGACATCGAAAACGATGAGAACTTACAAAATCTGTCGCCAACTGCAGGCAAACTTTGCGGACGCGTAGCAGCGAAACGGGAAATGTCCCACGACTATCAATAGCCGACACGCGCCTTCTATCCAAAATCAATTCCGAATCAAATACCAAACCACCAACAACCCATAAAAAGCAGGAAGCGAAGAGCCGAAGAACCGAAGAGGAGAATCCGCATCAGTTCCTATGTGGAAGATAGAGCCGAGTTTAAATGAAATTGAGCAAGAGCCTGGCAAACTGTCGCGCCATCCGGCGCTATTTGCTCATCTTCACGGCCGTCTCCCTGCTGCTCCTGCCCCTCTCGCTGGTCTACCTGGTGTGGAACGAGCAGCTGCAGAAGATCCGAGGATTCGAGGTGAGTGGAGGCTCCTTTTGTGCCGATTGCCGAGTGCCGAGTACCTTGGCCACTGGGAGTGGCAGTGGGCTTCTGGGTGGTGGTGCTCCTGCTCGAGGTGACTAGGTAGCATGCCCACCGTAGTAGCAGTAGTGGTTCCCCAATCCCGCCCTCTCCCATTGAGCCCTTTGAGTGCCGGGCAAACATCTGCTGAACAAATCGCTTATAGAAGTGCACTGAGAGAAATGAGGTGGGAAATTGGGTCGATCGATCAAAAGGCCTTAAAATAAAGTTATATCAAATGGTTATTGAAATAAATTAGTTCATATATAAAAAATCCAACATAAATCGCTGAAACTTTGAAATCACTTGTTAAGGTGACTAAAAGTATGCAACAAAATATTTAAAAAATTTACTGCATACTTTTGGACACCTGAAATTTAAAAAGTATGCAACAAATTATCTAAAAATTGTACTGCATACTGTATATGTGATTTAAGAACATATATTTTTTGTGATTTTTTGAAAAAATACTGCCACATTTTAGGGTTTTTCAATATTTGTAATCTTTAAAAATATGTTCATAGTTTAACAAACCATGACCCAGAATTTTAAATGAATATATTTTATAAAATACACACTGTGTTAAGCAGTTTAGTATTCATTTATAAAGTCCCACAAATTTATTGGATAAAAATTAAATAAAATTTCTCTTCAATATCGATAACTATTTGTTGCCACCATTTAATATAATTTGATTAAAGATTTAATATTTTAAATAAATAAAAAATCGTTTTATTACCCTGAGCACCGTGGTTTCTCTCTCTGTACTTGGCTGTAGATATACTCGCTTGTAGTTGCCGCCCGCCCGCCTGCCCCGCCCACCCCTCATCGCCTGACAACAAACAAATTGCAGGCCATCGATTTGCCCGACTCTGTTTCAGTTTCAGGCCATCGGAGGAGGCAGCTATGGCTAAAAAAAAGAACACAAACCAAACAGCAAACCAGAAACGAACACAAAAAAAGCAATTAAAATGAATTACCATAAAATGCCAGGCGAATCAACAATCTTATCAGCCGGCAATCTTAAAACAATCATCTAATTCTATAAAATTATAGTATAAACAAATTGTGTGAAGGGCATTTGGGAACGAGCCGAGAATAAAAATCTTACACGCAAATTAGCAGAGATCACCTATAAATACACGATAAATAGCTGCGATCGAAAGCATCTCATCTTGCTGCTATTTATTTGTTTATCCAAGTTGTTTAGTGATTTTAGCATACTTCTTTGTTTTGCCTTTCGCACTTGGGAATTGCACGTTTATCGCCTTAATTCTCACCGGGGAATCGGTGAACTGAACCTGCAATCCAATATATTTGAACTGGCTTTCTGGGTATTATGTGTTTGCTTGATTGGGTGCAAATTAATTCGAAATTAGCGGCGGGCTTTTGCTGGCTTTATCGCCTATTTGTGCTTGAAATTGAGCAAATGCCATATAAAGTGGGAATATTCCAACGTCACACAGACACACAGACTTTTAGACATGTGGACGTACGGAAAGCGTTCTTGGCTTATAATCACATAAGCTGGCCGACCGCCCCCAGGCCACGCCCCTTTTGGCCCGGACAACCCTTTGGTTTTGCCTAAGCCGATTACACAACTAGAAAAATTACAAACTTTGCGGTTTCAAGATTTATTTAAGATTTCGAGTGGTTGACTAAACAAATCTAACAGGAATCTTAATAATCAAATTATTCCTAAAAAAGGGTTAAATATTATTTATAATTGTGCCTAAAATTATGCAATAAACAAATTTTAAAATGAAGTAATGGGAGTTCTGCCCTGAAAAAATATTGTTGCCTACTTTTAGACACTTGAGAAAGTGATTTTAAATCCCTTTATATTTAATTTCGTGCCAAAAAGTTATATCAATATTAGAAGTATCATATTTTCAAGTGTCGACTGCTTGCAAAACGCTGTTGCGTGGTCGCCAGAGACTCTTGGGCGCCCGTCCATCGGCCTTGGCCAAATGGCTGGCGAAAAAGGAAAAACTTTCGCACAAATTACACTTAATTGCGTGTGGCATCATGAAAAAGTCATCAACGGGGGGCCGAAGAATATCGATTCACTGGGCGGCTGGCAGCCCAATCAATATGCGCTTGCCCACTGCTAATTTGCATTACATTACCCAAATGACACATGCTTATTCGGAGCCAAAAAAAATAAGAATGAAATAAAAGCACGCATACGCCGTGTTGTGTTCCAGTTAAACTGTTGTATTTTTTGTTTGCTTGTTTCGGCCGGCACACACGCATAATTAAGCACAGGCGAATCACAAACACCCTCGGATACCCACACACTCATATAGCGACGCCCCTTGTGCATTTGGTCCACCCTAATATAGCCTACAGTACCACCATCCTAAAACCCCACAATTACAAACTATCCCGCACAGTTCACTTCATTCTCATAGCGCCACTTTAGATGGAAATTAGTCGAGATCAGTAGAAATTTTACAATATGACCATATTAAATACTCTTGCTGCTCCGATTTTAATTGTTAAAAATAATTTGTAGTGGAATTTATATAATGTAATAAATAAATTAATTAATAAAGAACTTTTATTTGCTGAAATTAAAGAAGAATTTTTCTTTAAAAAATTATACTATACATATCAACTCTAAATGATTATTTATATTTTTTAAAGTACGTTTAATAATATATTTTATTTTATTTTGAAAATGATACAAGCTAAATGAATGATAAATTAAAGAAAAGAATTAAATGCAAAATAAAAGATATATCTTTAATCGAAGTAAAATGTTAGGCCAAAAAACCTCATTAAAATAGTTTACTACAAAAATATTTTATTTTACCTCAGCACCTAAACATTAATTTTACTACCTTAATCATTATAAATATACATTTATAATAATACTCACACTTTAAAAGAATTTTGCTGTTTAATAGTCTCTCCTTACTTCTTGAACTAAAGCAAATTGATTACATTTTAAATGTGACAAAACAATTAAGCTAAAAGCATCAAAATGTTTAGACATGTCATCAAGAGGGCCCGAAAACATTTGCAGAAGTATCACATTCTTTATTCAGACCGAGTGCCCAAGCGCACGACCATTAATCAATCTTATCTGAACGAGGCATTCTATGTACCAGTACCAGTGAATTATTTCCGACCCTCGAACCCCTCGAACCCCTCGAAGGGCATATAATATATACCCCATATATAGTGTGTCATGTAGGGCAGTCGTTTGCCAAGTGGAAACGCGAGTCAAATGCAAAGTGCCTGCCACGATGACGCCAACTTATCCGCAGAGTAGCCGCAGCCACTTGATTCGTGTGGCCATTTTCCCAGATGACAGTTGACACTGGCGTCTGGGGGTTTTAATTGGGATTCCGAGTGAGATTGAGATTCACCATGTGGAATATGAAGAATGTGTGGGGGCAGCGCGACCTTGGACCTTGACCGACTGCTTGTAAATTGCGCATACGCCACGTCATTCCCGCCTTTGCCTCTGCCTTTCGTTAACCCAAATAGAAACCCTTATCCACCAAACAAAAACGCAACTGCAACTGATTTTCTAGGCCTTTAATGTGCAACAGCAGCTATCGCCGCAGCAGCAGCAACAGCAGCAGCAATCGCAGCAGCAGCAGCAGGATTCGCAACAGCAGCAATCGCAGCAACATGGCCAACAGTTTCCGTATCCGGTGGTCCGGTATCCGGTGCTGCTGCTGAACAAGAACAAGAACAAGGACCTCACTGTCGTGGCAACGGGCAAGACCAAGAACAAGTGGCGCTATGTTGATAAAGTAAATATGTAACCCGCACAGAAAACAACACACACAAAAACCACACACACTTCATACTACACACAAAAACAAACACTTGAATTCACAGGCTCGTATAATTAATGATGTAAACAGAGCCTAAAGGCTAAATAAAATTCATAGATGGCCAAATTGATTGGCATTTGTGGGCATTGGGCATTTTTTGGGCACCCACTCCCATTCTCCACCCATAATCCCATTCCCATCGAGAGAAACTACCGTTCTGGATTTAACCAAGGCTCACATTTCCCGTGTTTATCCTTCGAACCAAACAGGACAGCAACCAGACGCTCCTGCCCCTCATTCCCGAGTATGCCGTGCAGACACTCACGCCGCAGGAAATGCTCCAGGTGGAGCAGAGAATGGACCAGCGAAGGGAGCGGCTGAGGGACAAGTGCTCCGCCTACGGCCTGGATGTCCTAGGTGGGTCCTTCGATTGGCCCTAGGCCCATATCCCTATCTCTACAAACCAAATCTTACTTACAGGTCACGACTCGTGGCACACCCCCAACACGTGGGAGTTTTTGGTCAACAAAAAGTATCACATTATCTGGTGGGTGTGAACTTTAGTCACTTTTCAATGATTTTAAGTTAGTTGGTCATTTTTGGATTTGGAAAGTGAAATCTTGTGTAAAAATTATATTTTTTAATTCAATACTTTATATTTTTTATTTAAAATAAAATAAAACGGATTTAAAATGAAGCATAAATAAATAAATTGTTTTATAAATGTTTCTTTTTAATTTCATGATTTGTAAAATATAATTTTAAGGTAAATTAATTTATTAAATTTTGATTTTAATTTATTGTTTAGTCACTTAAAGATTTCTTAACTAACATCATTTCTTTTCTAAGGCAAACATCAAATTGAAGGGGAAACACAATTTACTTAAAATTAAATTTAACATATAATATTTTTATATTTTAAAATTATTTTTGTTAGTATTTTGCCTAATATTATCTAAAATTATTAAATTATTTAACATTTATTTTCAACTATTTATTTTCTCTATAGGTGCAATGTCTTCAAGGCAGCCTCCTCGTCCTGGATGTTCAACTTTAACGTCCTGGCCGGCTACTCACCCAGTTATTTGCGCAAGACCAAAAAGATTCTCCTCAATCTGGCCAGGGAGCGCTATCCCCGGGTGACCCTCGACGAGGTGGGTGGTGATTGCTTACACTTACCCCATCCAATTACAAATTAATTTGTTTGGTTTTATTTCGGGGGCACCAGCTGCGTGAGGCGCAGAACTACTCGCTGACCTTCATCATCGCACGCGATCCCTTCGAACGGCTGTTGAGTGCCTATCGGGACAAGATGGTGTTTGCCCTGCCCTACTCCTTCCACGACAAGTTGGGACGCAGCATTGTGCGCAATTATCGCAAGAAGGTATGGTAACCCATTGCGTATACTTGATATTATTGCCCATCGAATTTCTTGGCAGTAATAACAAGCAAACGCCATGGATAACTGAAGAGTTTAACCATAATAATACTATAATTCCTATTGGTAATTAAATTAAATATTAATAAAATTAATTATTATTTTAAATTTTTGTTTAACTAATTGATATACTTATATTTTCCTCAATAGCCATCGCTGGCAGCCCGTGCGGCCAACACAAAGTTCCCATCATTCCCGGAATTTGTGCACTGGCTGCTCGACCAGGTGAAGCGCGGCAGCTTCATCGACATGCACTTCGTGGCGGCCACCTCCTTCTGCACACCCTGCCTCATCCGGTTCGACATGATACTGAAGTTCGAGTCGCTGGCGGAGGATCAATTATATCTAATCGAAAAGACTGGCCTGAAGCGGGTGATAGCGCCCGTGTGGCGAAATATGGGCAAGGGCCGCAAGACGCACGAACTGCAGCAGCAATTTTACGCCCAACTGACGCGGCAGGAGATGCTGGAGCTTTACGAGTATTACAAGTAGGTTATCTATTACAAATTAATTAAGATGAAATCCTAAAGAATTCGCGAAAATATATTTTTAAAAGTAATTTTCAAACTATATTGATTAAAATATATTTGAAATACATTTATAAAATATTATATCCCCACAGATACGACTTTGAGCTGTTCGACTACGACATCCAGGAGTATCTCCAGGTGGCCCGGCCGGATGAGGCTGAAAGTCCGGCGGCGGGTGCAAAGAATTAACCCGGCCCCGGAACTCTTAGACTTTGCTAAACAAAATACCAATGAATCAAGTTCAACGAACTCACATATTAGCCGTCGCAGTACGTAATTGCAAATGTTGATAATACTGAAGGAAAACAATAATAAACTTAACTATATTTAAACGAAACGTTTCTTCTGAATCTCTGGATGGGCTTTTATTTATTTAAGGAGTTACATAGGGTTGTTGCTCTGTCTTCGAATGATATTTTCAGCTTACATAATTTTGTACATTTTACGTTAGTATTTGCTTGGTAATTAAACTTTTCACATGACAGAACTAGTGGTTTAATAGCTTTATTTACATGTAAGATAAGAAACTTATTTTTGAATAAGGCGCCATCTCAGCTTTCTCTTCCATAACGGTTTGTGTCCCTGCTAGATTTGACATTGAGTTGTGGCGTCCCTGGAAGCATCTGGTTGTGGTTCTAAACCATTTCAACACTGAAACATCGTCGAAAAAACATCGATGACCTTTAATTTCAACACTGACGCCTGCTCGATATTTAGACATAGTGTGACTGCCTATGAGGCAATCGAAATTTTAGGGTCTCTGACAGCTTCGTATGTGGTCAGTATGTGAGGGTTTTTTCTGACAACAAGCACAATGAGACCTTTTTTTTACGAGCTCTGTTTAATACTGATTCCCTATCAATCTTATATTAAATAGGTATTGAAAAGCAGAGTTCGCATAACAAGCATTATTAGGGTTTTCCATATCACGTGTATATTATGTGAAATTGCGTTACTATAATTTTTTTTTTTTTTGCTTGTTATATTCTTTTTTAATACAGTCGGCTCAATGATTGCTGCTCTTTGCCCCCTTAAATATATGTTTTTATCAGAACAATTTATATTTTTTTTAGAATTACCAACCAAATGTTTTAGATCTTTTCTATAATTACTCCTTAATCGCACCCGCCGGTCGATAATTTCTTCGACCTCGAAGTTTTCTTTATCACCATTCGAACCCTTGCTTTTTGATTTTTTACCAGCTGGCTTTTTGGACTTGCGATTTCCCGGTTTACTGGTTAAAATGTGCTTTTTGTTCTTTCTTATTGTCCTTTCAATGTTGCCATCATTGTTTAAATTTAATACGACGGAGTTTTTAATAATTGTTACTGGCCGCATTTTTCCTTTCACTTTATTCTTTCTTTCCGCTATTTCCCGTGAATTGTGGTGCGACCTAAAAACCAGGGCCCTGGCTTTCCGCTTGGGCGGCGTGCGAGGTCGGCTCCCTTGTTCTCCTCGGCCTCCGCCAGTGGTACCGTAACCTCCGGTGGTATGGGTCCGGGAGGTACGGTACCCCGTTCTGGCCCAAGCATTTGTGCCCATTGAGGCCGTTCTTGCCGACGAATGGACAATTTGTGCACGGGAAGCTCCTGTACTCCTCGATGCAATGGTGGCCTTTGGCACTGCACTGGAACGGCTTGGTCACCCAAAGCCGCCCCTGTGCATCTGCGTGCTGGACGCACCTCCTTGTTACTATTACATTTTTGAAAGGCGCACGCCACTCGCTGCCACTGCTCCGGTTGCTGTTGCCGGTGCTGCTGTGGCTGCTGTTCCGGTTGCTGTTGCCGGTGCTGATTCTACTGCGGCTCCTTGCCGCGACCTGAAATGGTCGGACGGGACGGCGCCCCTCCTCTCCCTCTCCCTCTGAAAAAAAAAAATAAAATATTTAAAGGTAGTTTAAACTATATATTATTTTCTATCGAGGCAGAATGTTCTTTTAAGTTCACACTAATATTTTTGATTGTAATGACAATAAATAACTCGATTTTCAAAATTAAAGTTAATATTTTAGGCGCTCATTTGAAAAAAAAAACACATTTTTAATTTATAAGCACAAGATTACCAGTGTATAGCTGCCATAGGAACGATTGAAAAATAATGGGAAAATAATAGGAAATAAATTATCAAATAAAAACACCTCTTAACGAGGTAAAAAACTAGTGACGATCGCACCTTGAACATACAAAAGTTCTGATATCAACATTTGTGATGAAAAATTATTACACTCGTCATTAAATAGACTTTCTAATATTTTCTCATTTGGCACGCCCTAGTAAACTATTCCAGCCTTTTTCCCTTCACAGGCATTTTCTTTTGCAGCGAGCGATATGACCCCTCATATTAAGCGCATTTTCAGTAGCAATACAACTAACGTAGTCCGCAGGGCAAATTATCCCCACCGGCCCCAACAGATCCAAATTTCTAAATTTTCACTTTTACACTTTCACCGCTCTTTCTCCCAAACCAATTGATTTTCTTGAGGTCTTGGTATGCAATACTTTGCTATAAAGCTTCCATAGGAAGGATAGAAAAAATATTGTCAAAGTAATACAAAAACACTTACGAAGTAAGTAAACTAAGAGCTGAGCTCGCAAAAGAAAAATTTAAATCCCAGCAAATCCGTCACTCAGGCCCTCCGGCCAAGGAGCCAGAGCGGGTGGCCGTGTTCGAGGCGCAGGGGACCGGCTAGGCAGAGCTGGTCTCCCTGCGCGTCGAGCCTGCGGTAACCAAAAGATATAAACAGAATAAAACAAATTACCAGCCACAAAGATACTTTTGCATGAGGAAAGGCCAAAGTTAGGCGTTTAATTCAAAATATTTGACATACAAATGCAATAAAAGAAAATTTAATAAAGGAGAAGAAGAACATTCCAGTCCTAGTGGCAAAGCAGCCTCACCGAGGGGCAGGACGGTGGGCAGCACCTGCTGCGCTCGGGAAAGTGGGCCGCTTCCAGGTGGGGCTGGACTCCTCGCCGAGCCAGCGGATCATTCTTGCCCACAAGTTAGTCCTGGCAATGGCATCGCCAGTATTTGAAGGAATGTTATTCGGCGATAGGGACCAGTCGTACCCAGTTCTTGTCCCTGAAGTTGAGCCAGCGACTTTTCAAGCTATGCTAACATACATATACACGGATCAGCTAACTCTGGACTCCTTCAACCAGGCTTGCAGTCTAGCCTATGTGGGCACTAAATTAATGCTGCCATGTCTTGTCTCCCGCTGCAAGGAACATATGATACCTGCACGTGGGCAAGGGGATCGAGAGCAACGCGGCCACCGCTATTAGCCCTATGATCGCGATAATAATAGACACTAGTCATAAACTAGTCAGTGAGGAGCTGGACATAACCACTATTTTGTGAAGAAGCTTTGATCTCAAGATCAAAAGCAAGAGAGTGGTGGCCTGAGGGCGTTTGAGGATGGGGTGCGAAACTTGGAGCAATTAAAAAAATCATTACGCGGGCATTGCCGATTTCAGTGACGACCAGTCATAGTAGAATAGCTCCTCCAGACGTCTTGCTTCTCTCAAAAGAGTTGTCACCTTATTTTACTAAGTCATGGCAACTCTGCACCATTTTAATATCATCAGCTCGCAATATTTACTTTAAAATCTATTTAGAAGGGTATTAGTTGTTACCTTTCTAACAATTTTAGACAGTAGCTAACAATAAAAAAAACTAATTTCACATGTTAAAGTTCTGTGAAACTCTTCAACAAATAACAGCTGTTTGAAAATCAAACAGTAACCATTTTGGGTTGTTCCCTTAATTGCTGAAATTTTATATTGAATTTTCAACAATTCAACAGTTTACGGAATACCCTTATTCAATATAATGAATTGCTGGTATACTTGGATATAAATGGTATTTTAGTGTGGCAGCACATTGAGACCTTTTTTAATGCATTTCAACACGCTGACGCCTGCTCTTCTTCTTCCACTCGTCGCGCCGCGCAATTTTTTTTATCCGGCGGAATTCGCAAATGCAATTACTGAATTACTGATTTTTGGAGCCGTTCGAACGGAACTAGACCGCAATTACTTTTGTTAGCTCGACGGCAAGATGTCGAGCTTTGTGCTGGACAAGGAGGCGTTCGTGCGCCGCGTGAAGCGCCTGTACACGGAATGGAGGGTGAGTCCGGTCGGCGATCGCCAATCTTTTGGGGTTCTAAAATGCCCAGGGGCTCCGCGGGAAGACCATGTGGAGCCTCGAGATAATGGGGCATTGAGAGATGTGGTGAAATGGCACTAAACCCCCACTTCTTTGTCCAACCAAAAGGCTCCCAGCATCGGACACGATGACGCCCTCAGCAATCTGGACTGCATCATGAGCGTCGTGGGCGTCGAGGAGGATGTGCTGTACTCCAAATCGATGGCCCTGCAGCTGTGGCTCCTGGGCTACGAGCTCACCGACACCATTTCCGTGTTCGCCTCGGATGCCATCTACTTCCTGACCAGCAAAAAGAAGATAGAGTTCCTCAAACAAACACAAAACATCACCGAAGAGGGTTTGCCCGAGATCAAGTTGTTAGTGAGGGATAGGGTGAGTATCTAGTCAATAAACGAGTCAAAAAACCCTATTAATCGCCTCCTAATCCCCCAAAAGACCGACAAGGATCAGGGCAACTTCGAGAAGCTCATCAAAGCCCTACAAAACTCGAAGAAGGGCAAACGTTTGGGCGTCTTCACCAAGGATGCCTTTCCCGGCGAGTTCAGCGAGGCCTGGAAAAAGTCCCTCACCGCCTCCAAGTTCGAGCATGTGGACATCAGCACCATTATAGCCTATCTAATGTGCCCCAAGGACGAGTCGGAGATCAACAACATTCGCAAGGCATCGCTGGTGTCCATGGACATTTTCAACAAGTACTTGAAAGACGAAATCATGGACATTATAGACTCGGATAGGGTGGGTTCCGTTTTTATAGTATATAGAGCCCAGCATGAATGGTTTCAATGAATTATTTTGAATTTTTTGTTTTAATTAGAATGAATCAATTAATTAGAATTTTGAGTTTAATAGAATTGAATGTATGAATGGCTTGAATTCCGAAATAATTCAAACGAAAATTTCTTAAATCTGTCTGAATTGTATTTACTAAGCAGTTAACATTGATTTGTTTTAAATTTGTTCATTTTTTGTTTTTAAAAGAAAGCACAAAAAAAGTGTAACAAATTCAAAAAATTCATTAAAATTATTCATTCCTACATACAATTCGAAATGAATTAGGAAAACATCCAATTTTTTTCACATAGAATTGAATTACTATGATAAAACAAAAATTGAATGATTCCCGCAGGGCTCTTCTCACTTACTTAATTCCCTATATTTATGAAATATTTGTAAACCTCCTATAGAAAGTCAAGCACAACAAGCTCTCCGATGGCTGCGAGACGGCCATTGGCGAGAAGAAGTACACCAGTGGGCTGGATCCCAGACTTCTGGACATGGCCTATCCACCCATCATCCAATCGGGCGGCGTCTACAGCTTGAAGTTCTCTGCCGTTGCGGACAAGAATCCTTTGCACTTCGGCGTGATTGTTTGCTCGCTGGGCGCCCGCTACAAATCGTACTGCTCGAATATATCGCGCACTTTCCTCGTCAATCCCACCGAGGCCATGCAGGAGAACTACACGTTTCTGGTGAGCGTGCAGGAGGAGATACTCAAGCTGCTGGTGCCGGGCACCAAGCTGTGCGATGTCTACGAGAAAACGCTCGACTTTGTGAAGAAGGAGAAGCCCAAGATGGTGGACAATCTGCCCAAGAGCTTTGGCTTTGCCATGGGCCTGGAGTTCCGGGAGAACTCGATTGTCATCGGACCCAAATGCCAGGCGCTGCTGAAGAAGAATATGGTGTTTAATCTGCACGTGGGCATCTCGAACCTCACCAATCCCGATGCCACCGACAAGGAGGGCAAGAACTATGCCCTCTTCATCGGCGACACTGTTTTGGTGGGCGAGCAAGCGCCGGCCAGTGTGATGACTCCTTCTAAAAAGAAGATTAAGAACGTGGGCATCTTCATCAAGGACGACAGCGATGAGGAGGATGTGGATGACAAGAAGGCCGCGAAGGAAGATCAAGGCACTGAGATCCTGGGGCGCAGCAAACGGAATGCCGTGCTCGAGTCCAAGCTGCGTAACGAGATCAACACGGAGGAGAAGCGCAAGGAGCATCAGCGGGAGCTCGCCCAGCAGCTCAACGAGCGCGCCAAGGATCGGCTGGCCAAGCAGGGCAACTCCAAGGAGGTGGAGAAGGTGCGCAAGAACACGGTGTCCTACAAGTCCATCAGCCAGATGCCGCGCGAGCCGGAGGTCAAGGAGCTGAAGCTGTATGTGGACAAGAAGTACGAGACCGTCATTATGCCAGTGTTTGGCATCCAGGTGCCCTTCCACATATCGACGATCAAGAACATTTCGCAGTCGGTGGAGGGGGAGTACACGTATCTGCGCATCAACTTTTTCCATCCCGGCGCCACAATGGGTCGCAATGAGGGCGGTCTCTATCCGCAGCCGGAAGCCACGTTCGTCAAGGAAGTGTGGGTTTTAAAATTATGAGATATTTGTTAATAGAAAATCAACTAATTATAACCTTTTAATCTTATAGCACCTACCGCAGCTCGAATGTCAAGGAACACGGCGAGGTGGGCGCCCCATCTGCGAATCTAAACAACGCCTTTCGTCTGATTAAAGAAGTGCAAAAGCGCTTCAAAACACGCGAGGCGGAGGAACGCGAGAAGGAGGATCTCGTCAAGCAAGACACGCTGATACTCTCCCAAAATAAGGGCAATCCGAAGCTCAAGGATCTGTACATTCGCCCGAATATCGTGACCAAGCGCATGACCGGCAGTTTGGAGGCGCACACCAATGGCTTTCGCTACATCTCGGTGCGCGGCGACAAGGTGGACATTCTGTACAACAACATCAAGAGCGCCTTCTTCCAGCCCTGCGACGGCGAGATGATCATCCTGCTGCACTTCCACCTCAAGTACGCCATTATGTTTGGCAAAAAGAAGCACGTGGATGTGCAGTTCTACACGGAGGTGGGCGAGATCACCACCGATCTGGGCAAGCATCAGCATATGCACGATCGCGACGATTTGGCCGCCGAGCAGGCGGAACGCGAGCTGCGCCACAAACTCAAGACGGCTTTTAAGAGCTTCTGTGAGAAGGTGGAGACCATGACCAAGTCGATAGTGGAGTTTGACACCCCCTTCCGTGAGCTGGGCTTCCCTGGAGCTCCGTTCCGCAGCACAGTGACACTGCAACCCACCTCCGGTTCGCTGGTGAATCTCACCGAGTGGCCGCCGTTCGTCATCACGCTCGATGACGTGGAGCTGGTGCACTTTGAGCGCGTTCAGTTCCATTTGCGCAACTTTGACATGATCTTTGTGTTCAAGGAGTACAACAAGAAGGTGGCCATGGTGAACGCCATTCCCATGAACATGCTGGATCACGTGAAGGAGTGGTTAAAGTGGGTTTAATTTTGAGTTCTTAGATGTTATATTTATTAATCTAAAACCTATAATCTGTAGCTCCTGCGACATTCGCTATTCGGAGGGCGTTCAGTCCCTCAACTGGCAAAAGATCATGAAGACCATCACCGACGATCCCGAGGGCTTCTTCGACCAAGGCGGCTGGACTTTCTTGGACCCCGAATCGGGCAGCGAGGGCGAGAACGAAACGGCCGAGTCCGAGGAGGATGAGGCCTACAATCCCACAGATGCCGAAACGGATGAGGAGTCCGAGGAGGATTCTGAGTACTCAGAGGCCTCCGAAGACAGCGAAGATAGCGAGGGTACAAAGAAATCTGTCAAATTTCAAATTTCTCCTTGCTTATAATACTTTATTTGTTAATTTTCTCAGACGACCTTGGCTCTGATGAGGAATCCGGCAAGGATTGGTCTGATTTGGAGCGCGAGGCCGCCGAGGAGGATCGCAACCATGATTACGCCACCGACGACAAGCCACGCAATGGAAAATTCGAGTCCAAGAAGAGTTCTGGCAAAAGTTCAAAGCACAGGTATAAATTCTCCACTTAAGAAGTGTTTTTTCTATAAAAGATTTCTGCTCTGTGGAATTATCTATATCAATATTACCCCATTTTACACCCAACACAGTCGCCGCGACCGCGAGGAGGCTCGATCGTCGTCGCACAGTAAAAAGCACAAGTCGAACTCCTCCTCCTCCTCTTCGCATTTAAAATCCTCCAGCTCCAAACATGGCAGCTCATCTAGGTTTGTTATCGAAAGCCCCCGAAAAACACTTAATACCCAACCATAAGGCCTAACGCAAGTGCATTTCACACAATCATTTCACTTTTGTCGATCATTTCCAGTCAATTTCATTTAACTTCTGGTCTAAATTGGTTTTTATAAGATTTTTAAATATTATTTTTTATTTTTGGTTTTGGTTACGAAAAATTCTAATATTTTTTAATGGATTCTCTTTTTTTTTTGACTTTTCAAATTATTTTTATGATTTTTGCTTCAGGTTTTGGTTACAAAAAATTCTAAAAAAAAATGTTTATTTTATTTTTCAATGGATCCTCTGTCTTTTTTGGCTTTCCAAATTATTTTTCATGATTTTTATCTCAGCTTTTGGTTACTAAAAATTCTAAAAAAAATTTTTTTTTATTTTTGCAATGGATCCTCTGTCTTTTTTGGCTTTCCAAATTATTGTTGATGATTTTTCAGGCTCAAATTTATTAGCATCCACACGATTGCTTGCTCAAAATTTTGTTACCACACATCTATATTTTCCCTCAACTTTCACTAAAACTCTCCGCAACTCCTGTCTTTCTTGTAGCCCCTCGAAATCGTCCAAGGATAAGTACCACAGCCGGGACAAGCATCATTCCTCCTCGTCGTCGGGACACAAGAGCAGCAGCAAGGACAAGGATCGCAAGCGCTCGCGGGAAGACAGTCGCGACAATGGCCACAAGTCGAAGAAGTCGCGTCATTAAAAGGGAGTTGTGCTCTCCACACTCCGATCGTAATTTAAACTCTCTCCTGTTATCCATTTTCTATCTGTTATCTGTCCGATGATCCCTATTCCGCCGATCCCCCCACTCATCTTTTCACACTTCAAAAGTTGTATTACAAATTAAATATAATACGATACATTTATGTAATAAACTAATGTAAGAACTACATTACTACTACTTGTTCCAGCTGCCGAGGAGGTGTCGATAGGCGTGCACCTCCTCCTCGCCGCTGTCGCGTCGTCGCCTTCGTCGTCCATGGTGCTCCTGGTGAGGATTATGAGGATTCGCTTGCTGACGGGGACTTCCGGCGGCGGCCACACTGCCCCTTCTCTTATGAGCATCGAACATATTGCGCGTCTTGTTGATCGGATAGCGCATCTTGTTCTTCAGCCAGGTGGTGAAGGCCCTCTCGTTGTCCTGCATCTTCTTCAGCTCCTGTTCGTTTCTATTGATGGTCTGCTCCATGGAGAAGCGCTGCTTCCTTCTCAGCTGCTGATCCCTGCGCTGCAATTGCTGGGCAGTCAGTCCATATTCGGACATGTAGCCCGTGTACCTGGGCAGCTTGCCCTGCAGCGAATGGCGATGCTCGCAGCAGATCTTGTAGTTCATCCGAATGGCGGGAGGTGAAGTCGTGGAGGCGGCGGAGGAAGGAGTGGGCGTGGGTTTGGCCCGTCGCCGAAAGCTGAAGCTGCGCGAGGTGAAGAAGGTCTTGGCCGTGGACTTGGGACACGCGGAGCAGGCTTCCTTGACGTCATCCTCCTCCTTCTTGTAGTAAATGCTCTGCTCGTTGAGCTCGAAATCATCGGGAATATAGCTGGCCACGATGATGGACAGGTCATCCTCCTCATCGGCGGCGGTGACAGCTTTTAGTGGAGCAACTACAGGCGGCTCCGGCAAGGGAACTTCACTCTCAGCTCCCGTCAACCTGTCGATGGTGGCCTGCTGCTTGGGATCCAGCGTTTTATAGAGATTCTTGTAGGCATCCCTTAGCTTCTGACGAGCCTCGTTCAAGGTGCGTTCCTCCTCCTCGCAATCGGATTCGGTTAGCAGATTGGTGAGGCTCTTCTGGTCGGAGTCATCCTGGTCAAAGGTGTTCTGCCTTAAAGAAGCGGGAATGGAGGAGTCTTTTGCCGGCGAATCATCATCAAGATCTGCCTCATCCACGCCGGAAAAGTCGTCTTCATCATCTTCTATGGGAATGGCTTCCTGGACAACAGGCTGTTGAGGAGGAACCTCACTCAATTCCACGATTTCCTCGCATATCTCCTCCTCCACCTCCTCTACTTCTGGTTCTTCAGCCGGAGGAGGTTCCTCCTTGGACACCTCTGGAACTGATGGCTCCTCCTCTGCAATGGGTTTTAGTTTAAGCTGCGTCAACTGCTGCAGCAGTTCATCCGGCGGACTGGGACTCTGATCCTTCTGCTCCGTGGGTTCGTAATCCTCCAGATTCAAAGCAAACTTCACCTTGGTCACCTTGCCATTCCCATTGGAGGCCTCCTCATCCAGCGCGAAGAGCTCCTTGTTGGCCTCCTTGATCCTGTCCACAATGTTGTACTCGTTGACCGGCTTTAGGACTGCGGAATAATCCATAAGTAGGGACATTCTTGAGCTATCCACTTACACAGTTCCGTTCTCGACTTACAATAGACCTCGCAGTCCTCGTCCGACTCCGGCTCGCGTTCGCCCATCTCTGCCAGCTGCGGGCACATCGATTGCCTTCGAGTGCCGGGATATTTTTAGAGACCCTCCTCAGCTCTCTTTTTTTTCGCACTGCGATTTACGACGATTCACCAGCGGGAAACTTGGCCAAAACTTTCCATTTCGTGTCGAGCAGCTTTCCGCACCCATCCAAGACTAATGAACTTGGATGTGCACTCCAGACATTAGCGGCTCCACTCCTCCGCTCCCTGCGGTTACAACCTCCCATCCTGGTTTCAATGGCGCCCGTTGCCAGGCCACTGGGATGTCCCGTGTTTGATCGATGCCCGGTTGACAAATTGTCTCTGTGGGAATGCAGCGATGGTACAAAACTTGGGATTCCTATGTAGGATTCTAGCTAAAATGTACCTTAGTTTTTAGAGTATTTTATAAATTAATTTTAGAATTACTACTAGGTCCATTTAAAATTTAAATACCTTGGAGAAAGGCTCTAAAATTCCTAATTTTTTCAGACCCGATCTATGATTTTTCAGAACTTAAAAAAAAAATATTTTTGTAATGAATTTATATTGTAAAATATCTATTAAAATATGAAATAAAATTTAATAGGTATGTAGTTTACCTTAAAAATTCATATTTTAACTGAATTGATCTAGGAAATTATAGAACTTATTTCAAAATATAGTTTTTAACAAGTTAAATCTCGTTTTCTTACCTATTAAAATATAAAATGGATAAATGATTGCCAATAATAAGGTAGCAAATATACAAAAGTTCGGCTATATTTTTTCAGAAAATTTCCAAATTATGGCCAGACATATTTTAAAATTGTAGTTCTTAAGGGGTTTTTACTGTGTAAGGTGACCTACCTACGCAAATATAATTAAAAAACCATGTAAATTGGATAAATGATAACGGATAAGATAAAGTAAAAGGTGTGAAATATGTATGTACCTCAAAAGATAAGCAAATGGTACCGGTACAAGCCCCCGAAATTAGTATACTTTCCACCTCTGCCAGGTGCAAAAAACCTTTTTCGGAGGGGTAGTAAATCAAGAAACATTGTTTGGCGTTTAATTTCCATGCACTTTATTCCATATTCCATTTCCACACTTACTTCGCTAAGCACATTTAAAGCTTAATCATCAACAGTCGAACCGAGGCGAAACAAATCGGTTCAAATCGAATCGAATGGAGTCGAGGCAACAATCATTTCAATATAAATACAAATACAATTCAAATAAGTTCGAAAGCTACAAAAATAATCGATTCGGAGAGGCGCACAACACCAATATAATTAACCTATTAGAGCCGTCGTTAACTTCGTATATTGAGCAAGTATCAAGTATCTATCCTATATATTCCATTGCCGATTTGATTGTTTCAAACATTTCGCTTCATCTCAAACTCATTTGCATTGCCATTAGCCGAATCCATTAAACCAAGAGGAGTTTTTTCGGGGGATTGGTTGAGAGTTGGAGCGGGCCGACAGTGCGTTTCGTGACTGTAGGTCAAGTGCCCCTATAATTGCGGGGTTATCAACGAATTAATAGGGTAAGGTCAGCTAGAAAACGGAAATGCTATAAAGCGTAATCGCAACGCATAAACTTATAGATGGCATTTAAATGGGGACATCAACAAGTTAATAATACATTTTAATAAAAATTAATTTTAATATAGAATAATCTCAAAAAAGCCAGAACTTCCGTCTGGCATAATCACACCCCTATCCTTTTTATCTTACAGCTTTGAAACGCACTGTACAGTTGTTGTGGGTGAACTTGATAATGATGGATTCTGATACAGTTCAATGGGCATGCCGCAAAAGAAAGATAAAATTTATCGCCCATTTTCAGCTGCGTAAAGAAACGAAATCAATTCCCAGAAGAGAGTGCTAAAAAAAGTAGTGAAATAAAAAGAAGAAAAGATTAATCACGTTCATAAATTATAAAAAATTATATCATACTTATAGATTGTACAAAAAATCCCCCTTTATTAAAAACCAACTAAAATCTTCAAAAATAATATGTTTAATTCGAATAAAAACCAACATTCAATGGGAAAATACATACAATAGTCACAAAGTTACAGCTAAAATTTAGGTGTTGTGTATAATTTGGAAAAAGAAGAATTCCTGTATTAGCCATAAATCGTATTTATGTGTTTTAGGTAATTTTATTCGTTTTTTTTTTGGGTTTTTTGCTTGTAATAATTATTTTTGTTTTAATACAACCATATTCAGCATTTCTTAAAAAAGAAATTATACGACATTAACAACTAAACGGCAGATGAGGTGTGTGGTGATTGATTGGTTTTATCTTTAGAAATGTGAATGACTGTGAGAAGTAATTTCATTAGAGGACGGGGTTAAAGGTCAGCGGAAAAGAGACGCGTCATCACTATAATAGCTATAAAAGAACGTATTGCAATATCGGCGCATCGTCTTACATCACTAGTAGCTTGGTATTATCATGGTTTGCTCGCTGCAATCGATTAGGTTTAAACGTTTAAACATAATCATATAATTCGACGTTGACTAAAGTCTAGATCTAGTTCTTTAAGGCGCATCCCTGGACAGACGCTCACTAATCATATACATAGATTCGTGGGTGTACGGTTAAATCTTTTCTTTTCTTTTGTTTTCTTGAGTGTTGGTTTTGAAAATCGTAAAACATTTTCGTACGCTTGCCAGCGTTTTTGGTGCAATTAAATTTCAATAAATTACAATTACAATTATATATAGTATACATTATAACTCTAGCGCTTCCTCAACATGTTAGCATCATATACAAAGTCTTTCGTTTGTTTTTTTCTCTTTTGTTTAAATAAATTTCGAGTGTACGTATGAATGTTTTCTGGGGGTATACCGAAAAACACACTTTTTTTTACCGAGTACATAATAGAAAATATTGTAAAATATATAATCTATATATATTGCTAGATTTCGATTCGGGTTTTTAGGTTTTCAGGGGGAAAAAAGGGGACGGGGGCCTTGTCTAAACGAAATTTTTGCCGCTAAACACAAAAAGGACGTTACACAAACCGAGTTTCGGGTTAATTACGATTAGGAAATAGAAAATAAGTTGTTTATACAAATATAAACAAACACATTGCGTTATATTTATAGATCCTGCTCTGTCCACTGTCCTTGGATCAACCAGTCGAATGAGTCCAGGTGTTCCAGCTGCTTATGTGAACAGCGGCAGGTGATAGAAGTCGAACCCTCGGTATCCCTTGGCCGCCAGCCAGATGTAGACGACGTGGTAGGCTCCGGGTATGAAGCAGATGAGTCCGGCCACAAAGAACACGACTCCCTGCGACGTGTTCTGCGGATCGGCGATGGCGAAGGTGCCCATCACAAAGAGTCCTGTGCCCACGACGAGCAGCGTAAAGGCTGCCAGTACGGTGCGCCAATTTTCACGGACCTTCGGGTGCCGCCAGCAGTATGTGTTGGTCTCCTCCGTGGGCAGGTTTCCGTACTCCTGGATGAGCGAATCGCTGTCCCGGGAGGTTGTGTCCTCGGCATACTTGTTGTAGCCCCTGCGGGAGATGAAACAAGAAGAAGATGGGCGGGCAGTTGAAAGGAAGAGCGTTTTGATAGCCTTGGGGGCTGTGTATAATTAAAGCCGGTTTTCGACGACGCCGATTTGTTGACCCACTTTTTTAGGAAAAGGGTTTCTGTTGAAACTGCCTTTACAGCTTTCAATTTTCATGGATAAACCTTTTTCTCGTGTCTTAATTGTAAGGGAGTCACTATTAGGTTCAATTCTACCTTATTTCATATCAAATTGATGATTCAAACATATCAATTTGATATTTTATTTTGAACAAATAATGTAAAATAAGATAAAAGTTATCCTTAGTCATATCAAAATGATCTTTAAAATGTATAAAATTGACCAGCACATATCAATCTGATCTTTTGTCAATTTTTTTTCTGTGTAGATCTAAAATTTAGGATATAAAGCGAATAAATGATAAAAATATAAAATATAAATTGATATGCATCTCTAAAAATCACCCATGCTTAAAATAGCATATTCTATTCATTAGTTTACAAACATTTCAAAACAATGACACTGAATCATCAACAGAAACATGCAGAAAACAAACCATTAAATCAACAAAAATAAATCCCTAAGCTTCTGATCATCATCAAAAAGATAAGACGAAATTATCACATCATTTTTGAATAAACTAAATACAAATTAATGGTAAACCGACTTGAATCCACGTTTTCCGACAGCTTAACAGATGATCTTTCGTTTTGCCTTCTGAATACCCTAATTATTTGGCCTCTTCCGAAACAGGTTTCTTTGGTTTATCGCGGTATTATGATGATTTCGGCTAGATTTGGTCATATTAGAGCCCAGTTATAAGCCAAAAAAGTGACTTGGGCCATTCCACTTTGCGGAATATGGACTTTAGGACCCTTATCAACCGATTGGAGGGGTTATCGCGGGGTTGGATTGCCGCCAAATGCGAAACGCAATCAGTTTTGCAACAGAGAAGCCCGACAAGTGCGCTAACTGGTTCCAGCTGACCGCAGGCGAAGGCCACCTCCTCCTTCTTTACCTCCGCCTGCCCCTAATCCCCTCGAGAGACGAAACCCTTATGACGAAATTTATGCGCAATGATTTTTACAATTGAATGCCAAATTAGGCTGGACGTCTGCATTTATAATCCCCATAATTACAAGTCGTTTCTGTACTTGCGACACGCCATGCATGGCTAATGTAGAGAAGATGTAGGGGCTATCCATCCATCACGCACGCGCCGCTTGGCTAACTTATTCAGGTGCCGCTTCCGGCGGGAATAAGGAAGTGGCCAGTGGAAACCCCACATCATAGATAGAACACCAGATGTATAAACAATAACCGGAATCTTTGGCGCTCCTTGTTTGGCACAAAAGCTGTTAAAATGGTGCCAGTATTCAACGGAAAACCTGTTCTCTGCCCACTCACTTGGGATCCTGAATCCGTATGGAGACGTCTTCGGTGGAGCGACCTTGCGTGGATATCACCGTGGATCCATAGACGCGTATCGCCTCGTCGGTTTCCTCCTCGAAGGCGTCGTGTATGGAGAAGCCCCGCGCTCCGTTGTTGTACATCCTGATTCTGGCTGGGATTAGGGTCTCTGTTATATGTTTCCGCTTCCCTTTCCCTTCTGTTTCTATCCCTTGTTTAATAATAAACGACTGGCGATCGAGATTCAGCGATTCGAAATTTGGGTTGCCAACGTTGGCTACGAAATACGGCGGTAATCGGGGTGGTTGCGGCTCCGATTTAGTGCTGCCCCGCCTGCATGGTCGCGCACTCCGAATTCGCACTGTTTTGCACTCTTTTTCGCTGCCCGTTATCGTTGCAAAAGTGTTTTTCTTTTCACATTAAAACGCGACACAAAAGACACAAAAAAACGTTCGGGGGCAGAATTAGAGTGACCGTTCGGTGGGGGTGGGTAAAATGCCAAGCGGGGTGGCTCTTTGTGGTATTTACTTTGATAGGCTGTTCTGACTAAGTCGCATCATGGATGTTTAAGGCTTTTCACACTGTCGGGAGATTAATCGATAAAAAATAGGTGATTTTTTATTTATTTTTTTTTATATTGGTTGTAAATTACACAAAATTACGAAAAACAAACCATTAAATTATACAACAAATTACCAATTACTCGTCGCATTTTAAAGTACTGAAATAAATCCAGTTTTTATAAATAAGTCTCTTAATATCAAATGTGTATTTCCACTGGATCTCCAACATATGTTTTAAATATTAGTTATTTATAAACGTTTATTTCAATTCGATTCAGAAAACTAAAAAGATTTGTTTTCAGTGTCAAACTCATATGGTCGCTTCTCCACTAGTTAAAATATCGATGTCAGCAATCGACTACTTTAGTTGCCTAGTGTGAATACCTTAAAATATCAAGCAAAATACCAACCTACAAAACACGGGTCACACCTGCAGGCACCTCAAAATACAATAATTTTGATGAAATTCTGACCTTTCCTCGTAAATTGTGAAATTCAGCGGCCTGCAAGATGTCGCGGCACAGGATAGTGCGCACCATGGACTACAACGACGAGTACGACGGGTGCGTAACTGTTCTACTTTTACTTTCGCCCACTTAACACCTCGAATCTTGAATCAAACTTTCAGATACGATGATATTTACGGCCACTCGGTGGAGGATGACCACCTGAGCATCTCGCCCACGGACGCCCAGCAGTGGCTCTACGATCGGGCTCGTGGCCAGCAGAGCATCTCGGCGTTCATCAGCAAGAACAAGGACATCCAGGAGGAGGAGGACGACGAGGAGGATGAGGATGCGGCCTTCCAGAAGGCCCGCCGCGACTCCGAGAGCTTCCAGATGCCGCAGCTGGACGAGATCGAGCAGGCCAAGCTGAGCTCCTGCGTGGACGAGGTGCGCAGCGTGGTGGGCGACGCCGTCTCCGAGCGGCGCATCGTGGAGACCTCCATGAAGTTCGACTACGACATGCAGAAGATCCTGGACGAGATCTTGAACGAGGAGACCAAGTCTGCGAAGCCAGCTGCTAATAGGATCAAAGTTCCCGCTGCTTCTGTGCTGCCCAAATCCTCCAGCAAAACGGCGCCCACTCCACCACCCAAGATCAGCCTAAAAGAGCCAAGAAGAGGCTTTGAAATAGCCTCGCCCAAGGTGCCCTCCTCCCCCGTGGTCTCGGGAAGAAATACCCCAGTGGACATGACTCCGGATGACATCTCGCGCAGCTCGGCGTCCCTCTTCAAGGTCTCCAAGGAGCAGGCGCTGCGCAATGCCCGCCAGCTGTACGAGAAGGAGCGCGCGGACCAAAAGAGCCACATTCACATGATTGTCATCGGTCATGTGGACGCCGGGAAGAGCACCCTTATGGGCCACCTCCTCTACGACACCGGGAACGTCTCGCAGCGCGTGATGCACAAGCACGAGCAGGAGTCCAAGAAGCTGGGCAAGCAGAGCTTCATGTACGCCTGGGTGCTGGACGAGACGGGCGAGGAGCGGGCCCGTGGCATCACCATGGACGTGGGCCAGTCGCGCATTGAGACAAAGACAAAGATCGTTACTCTGCTGGATGCTCCGGGGCACAAGGATTTTATTCCAAACATGATTTCCGGGGCCACGCAGGCGGATGTGGCTCTCCTCGTGGTGGATGCCACGCGGGGAGAGTTTGAATCCGGCTTTGAGCTTGGCGGGCAGACCAGGGAACATGCCATTCTTGTGCGCTCCTTAGGAGTCAATCAACTAGGCGTAATTATCAACAAACTGGACACCGTTGGCTGGTCGCAGGAGCGCTTCAACGAAATCGTGACCAAGCTAAAGTCCTTCCTCAAGCAGGCTGGTTTCAAGGAATCCGATGTGAGTTTCACGCCCTGCTCCGGCCTGACCGGCGAGAATCTCACCAAGCAGGCCCAGGAATCGGCCCTGACCAGCTGGTACAGTGGTCCGCATTTGCTCGATGTCATCGAGAACTTCAAGATCCCCGAGAGAGCCATCGACAGACCGCTTCGCATGTCCGTTTCGGATATTTACAAGGGCACCGGCTCGGGTTTCTGCATTTCTGGACGCGTGGAGACGGGCGTGCTGTGCCTGAACGATAAGGTTTTGGTCGGTGCCAGCCGGGAGCAGGCGCAGGTCAAGTCGCTGGCCATGAATGACTTCCCGCAGACCAGTGTCTTCGCCGGCGATCAGGTGTCCGTCACCCTGCCCGCCTTGGACATCAACAACGTGACCGTGGGCTGCATCATCTGCGATCCACAGACTCCGATTCCCGTGACCACGCGATTCCAGGCCAGGATTATCGTGTTCAACGTCAAGGTGCCTATAACCATGGGTTTTCCCGTGCTGCTGCATCATCAGTCGCTGATTGAGCCCGCTGTGGTCTGCAAACTGACCGCCTCGATCCACAAGAGCACCGGCGAGGTGGTCAAGAAGAAGCCACGTTGCCTGGGCAACAACTCGTGTGCTCTGGTGGAACTGGAGACCAGCAGACCCATCTGCATCGAGCGGTACGCCGACTTCAAGGAGCTGGGAAGGGTGATGCTAAGGGTGGCGGGCGTCACCATTGCCGCTGGGATGGTCACCAAGATCCGCTGATTACAACCCGTGCCGTGCTGAATTTTATACGAAATTTTAGTTAGATATTCACTTTTGTTGTTTTGCTAAATATACACACATAGTTTATATGAATTGATTAAATCGAAAAAAGACGTTGAGGCAGTGGAATTGGAGTCTGATTAATGTAGGGGTAGTTTTAAGGGGAAATCTGAAGAGTTTTGAGTTTTTCGACATTTTTTCAAATTTATCATCGAATGAATCATTTTAAAAAATTTCAAGCAATTTTCGAGTCATAAAAAATATTATTCCACCAATAAAGATAATAATATTTTTATGTTTTTTACATTCCGAATCATTTAGAAAAATAGGAATCTGATGATTCATATCTAAATCTCTGAAATGGGAAGGAGAGTAATCACAGTAATTCGGCTTACTAACTAAATTATACCGTTGAATCATGCAGTTTTAACATTCCAATATTTTATACATTATATTCTAAAGAGAATGAAAAACTTCTCTAGACTGAATATAAAAAAAATTTATTTCTTATATACAATGGTTTTAAATTAACCAAATGTGACTGATATTTAAAAGTTAATTAGCTTTAGCTTGTTTATTTTCACTCAATCGAATGCTTACTGTACCTTTTGGAGTTCCACTCCTTGTTTTTGTGGTCGAACTATCGATAAATATCGTACAAATTGCAAGTGTATATTATTTTTTTAATAAATATTTATTTATTAACAGCATTATTTAACTTAAAAAAATAAAACAAAACAAAAAAATTAATAATAATTTTTTATTTATATTTTCCATCTCTACACTATCGATAGTCGCCAGTACATCGATAGCCCACCATCGGCCTACAGCTATCGCACTTAGTCTGTGAGTGTTCGCTGCGCGAAAAAATAAAGAAATAGAGTAACAAAGGCGTTCTAAATAAAAAGTGCAGCGATTCGCGAGCGGCGACAGGTGAAGCGGTCAGCGGTCCCCAAGGAAAACGCAGTTAGCGGCAGCGAGTGGAAAACACAGGTAAAACTCCACTCCGCCCAGAGTTGCCCTGCCGCCCGCATGCGGGTGGTGCATTTGCGTGGTCAAGTTGCACTCGCACACGCCACACGGTGATATACATACAGACATTCCGATCCCCGCACCAAGTGTGTGTGACAAAAAAGTGAACTTTAATTGAGGAGCGCAGTGAAATGAAAGCGAAATTGCCGTTTAAGGCGTTGCATTGCGTTGCCCCGGCGGCCTGGCAACCCTGAAAATGAATCATAAGAGCGAGAACGAGAACTAGAGAGAGTTTCGGAGAAGAAGAAGAAGAAAAGAGGGAGTGCATACCAAAAAAAAAAGAAGCAAAAACCAAAAAACACTCGCAGCGAATTTAGAGTTTAATAAGTGTCTAAAGAGCCGCCTTTCTTTTCTACTCCCCCTTTTACAGTGTGCCCTCGGTAGCAGTGACGGCGGTCCCAAAACGAAAACAGTGAAGCCAGGAGATTTCCGCTCAAAAAAGCAACAATTGAACGCACGCAACTCGGCGGAAGGAGCGAGCGAGAGAGGGAGAGGCACAAACACCAGCACGCACTCACACTCCCACACACGCAGACACCTACACGGCACAAAGGTTATCAACAGCAAAAGCAACAAGAACAACAACAACAAAAAACTTACTTTAAAAATATATATTAACTACAAAAAAATCTAAAAACAACTGAGAAACAAACTGCAACCGACAAGCAATCGCCGAACAACGCCTAAAAAAAAAAACTAGTGACTAGAACAGAAAACCCACCTACCTGCATTTTGGGTCGCCTCTTCTCAAGAATTTAGCACAAATCCTAGGATCCTAAGCTTCATAAAGGATATCCAACATGCGTGAGTACAAAATCGTGGTTCTCGGCAGCGGCGGCGTGGGAAAATCCGCGCTGACGGTCCAGTTTGTCCAGTGCATCTTCGTGGAGAAGTACGACCCGACCATCGAGGACAGCTACCGGAAGCAGGTGGAGGTGGACGGGCAGCAGTGCATGCTGGAGATCCTGGACACGGCGGGCACGGAGCAGTTCACCGCGATGCGGGATCTGTACATGAAGAACGGCCAGGGATTCGTGCTGGTCTACTCGATTACGGCGCAATCGACGTTCAACGATCTGCAGGATCTGAGGGAGCAGATATTGCGCGTGAAGGATACGGACGATGTGCCCATGGTGCTGGTGGGCAACAAGTGCGACCTCGAGGAGGAGCGCGTCGTTGGGAAGGAGCTGGGCAAGAACCTGGCCACCCAGTTCAACTGCGCCTTCATGGAGACCTCAGCCAAAGCCAAAGTGAATGTGAACGATATTTTCTACGACCTGGTCCGGCAGATCAACAAGAAGTCGCCCGAGAAGAAACAGAAGAAGCCGAAAAAGTCCCTATGTGTTCTGCTATAAGACTTCCAAAAAATCAGAAAAGAAAATCCATAAAAAAAGAGAGAAAATAATTCAGAGAAAGTATATAGAGGAGGGATTTAGAGAAGTGTAAGCGTAAAGTAAAGAATTTTCAATTTTTTTTCCGTTCTCGTTTCGTTTTTGGATCCGATGGCAATTGTCGAAAAATTGAAATAACCAATCTACTATATATACAAAGCAACAAAACAACAAAACTTAAACTGACAAATGTTTTTAACTGTTTCAAGTTTTTGTAATGTAATTATTACCATTTACTACTATTATGATTGTACTATTTTTCGCTGATTAACCATTAATGCATATGGGGAATTATTATATATATATCTACATATTTAAATATATTTGTCGTTCGTTTTTGAGCCGTTTTTTAAATTATGCAACAACGTGAAACATTCGTAAACTAAAAACATTCGTATTTATTGATTCTTTTCGATTGTACTCTACACATCTACTACTTATACACGAGAAAACCCAACCAACAACAACAACAAGTACATATATCTTTAAATAGAACCGAGAAAAGCCACAAGCAACATTCAAAATCAAATTAAGCTAAACTAAATTGTACGCCTAAAAAAAAGATAAAAAATTCCACGAAAGAAATGAGCAAATAAATCGAGAAAGGAAATGAATCATGAATAAGGAACATATTTTATAAAAATATTGTATGCAAATGATGTCAAAATGTTGCAAACAACCAGAAGTAATGAGCCCATTTAGTAATTAGTTTAAAACAAATTTACAAGTAATTGTTTAACATGATCAATTGCATCCAAAATTTATAACACTCCCCCCCACACACACACACACATACCAGCCACATCCCACACACACACATTCACAGCGCCACACACACACATTGACACATTTCCGATGCTCTCAGAGAGCGAAAAAAAAAACAGAAAAAAATCAAGAAGGAAGCGGAAATGAGGCTCATTTCCGCTTCCTGGTAAAAAACAACAACAACATCAAGCACAGAGACAGCCACAAATTCTAGTATATTTAATACTTAAGAAACGGTTTAACATTTAAACAAAAACTGTCGTGTCAATCCCAAAATGAAAAATGAAAAGAAACCTAAAAACGAAGTAATTTACAAATATTTCATAATAAACATTGCATAAACTTCGCGTACGAGTAGTAACCAATATGCCCTTAAATCAAAGTCTAAACACAGCCAACCAACATTAAAAACTAAATAAAAACATAATAAGAACCCAAGCCCAAGCGTATATATTAAAGATATATGATAAAGATACAAATCATTTTTGAACATAATAAACAAAACCAACCGTTACAATAACATAATGTAATAATGAGCGTGTGAAAAATGTAATTGAAAAACCATTTTTTCGAACTTGTTACCCTACTGGTCGCGCTTTTCCGGTTATCTGGTTAGATCCTGAATTCGCGGCTCAGTAGGTCGACAGGATCGATCATCTTTTAATTATTAATAAATGTATTATGTTTATAAAAAATTAAAAAGGAAATGCAAAAACAAAATAAAAATTAAATAAATTCATTTGAGGAGAGTGTTCATTTGGTAATCGATAAAATCGATTAAAGGATCGAAAATAATCGATTTATTAATAACAGGGTTTTCCAAAATTCTTCCCATAAAAAGAACTCTTTATTGAGATTTTGAAATATCTGTATTTGATACTTGGAATAGTTATATAAGTTTGTTATTCAAATATTTATACATATACAATTACAATCGAATAGCCGCTCTTTATAATTATAATATTTCGCTAGTTTATAGCACGCATATTAGTCCACTGTAAGATCTGCGATAGGATCGATTCGGAGTTGAGATTGGGGGTGTAGTAAAACTGCATTGTATCCACAGCTGATATGGTATGCAAGTTCCGAGAGATTCGCTGGGTATACAATAATAATAATCATGCATTCTTTGTAGAATTCGGCGAAGCGCTGGCCAGCAGAAAATTTAAGACTGGGATTACGTGGTAGTTGCGCTCGTTATATGACTAGGTTTTTTGGGCTAAGCAAAGTGCTCTACTTCCGATGTTCTTGGTGTTCAGTGTGATGCTGGGTTAATCAGTCGAACGTGTGTGTGTGTTTCCTTAGTTTCGATTACAAATAATGGATAAAAACTTAACTACGCTAATTTGGCAACAACGAAAGGGGTAAACAAAACGTATATAAACAAATAGTTGGGAATATTGCACTTGGGTAGGGTTAAAAAATTGCACTTAGGGTTAAAACTAGGGTAATACCATCGCATCTTTGTGTTGAGATTGTGGGTTGATAGGAGATTTTTCGTTCTTGCCTGGAGATTACTGGGTTTCTGTTTTTTTGTTTTTCTGTGGGTAGAGATTATGGCCGTTGAGATAAGATAACCGCTTCACTTGCGCAGCTGCAACTGCCCCTGCTGCTGCTGGCTGGACTGCTGCTGCTGCTGCTGGTTGGCCTGATCCCTGTGATCCCGGTGATCCTCATCGTCGCTCGGCTCCTCGCGCAGCGGCAGCGAGTCTATCTGCTTGGCCGTGGTCACCTTCTTGTTGCGCTGCCAGGTGAAGACGCGTGCCATCTGCAGGAACTTCTTGCGCGACATCTTGCCCATGTTCTTGAGCCGCTCCTGGAAGGGTGCATCATCCTCGCCCTTGGCCTTGCCGCTCTGCTCCTTCTCCAAGGCATTCATGAAGTCCTGGTTCCAGCGCAGCTGGTTCATGAACTCCTCGTTCTGCAGCATCAGGGCGAACTGTTCGTCGGGCAGCTCGAAGTCCTGCTGCCCGGGAGCCGGAGTAATCCTTAGGAAGCCCGCGGGCAGAGGGCCCAAAATGGGCGGATTCCAGCGGCGACTGCGCGACTTGGTGGGCGTGTTCTGCTGGCTGCTAATCTTCGCGGATCCCAGGGGACGCTGCTTCGGGGAGGCACCCGTATTCTGGTGATTCGGCGAGGCGCCTGCTGTGGGCAGCAGGGATCCTGCAGCGCCGGGTGCTCCGCCGCCATCCGTGGTGTCCACCAGCTGCAGGTCCTTGGCCGAATCGTTCAGGTTGATGAGGCTCTGCTGGGGCGAGACATTAGCATCCAGTTCATTGCGCAGTTTCTCGTTCTGCGTTCGTTAGTGGGTTAGTTTCGTATAGCGACGTTAGTATACACAGGTTGGTGTACCTGCATCTCTCTACTCACCTGGTTGTCAATCGACATCGCCAGCAGGGCGTCGATGGTCTGGTCCACGGCTCCTAGGTTCGCCCTCAGGATGGCCTCGATCACCTCGCGGTCGATGTCCGGAAACATCTTCTTGAAGTCGGTCATTGCCTGGGAAAATTCCAGCTGGAGCGTCGACATGATTATGTTCTTATTTTTATTTTCGCCCCCAATTGTACCTATCGGTACACCTCTTCTTCTTCGATTTCAAAAATTTCGCATTTGTCCAAACCTATCGGTACACATCTGGTTCGTGTCCCTGCTAACAATGGGTACATTTTAGTGTGACCCTGCTAATTTATCGGGTTTCTTGAATATTTTTAAAAATGGGTAAAAGGCAACAATGCGTATGATTGATAAGCGACGTTAAAAACGACCATTCAAATGGGGTTTTATTAAATTAAGTTAATAATAATAATTTAATTTAATTTCAAGGGCACAAATAACATCATCTAAATACTATTTAACTCATCTTTGCCGAATTCTGCTGGAACAGGGAACTGGTTATTCGAAAATTTATCTGAAAGCAGAGCGAACTTACCTCTCCTTGAGCAGTTTTAGGGTGCTGCTCTTCAGGATAAGCAGTATAAAAACGATAATTGCTAGACTGTTTTCAATATAGAGGATAAAAATATAGACGTGCCGAAAAAAGCTGAAGTCTTGCAACAAATACAAAAAATCCAACATCCAAAATGTGCCCATGATAACAGAGAGCCGCAAAAACATTAGATAACTGAACAGGAAATTTGTAATGAGTATTAGACTGCCTACCAAATTCTGAAAAGGATATTTCTTACGTCTCAGTGTCCAAATTGAAGCATTGTATAGTCCTCTCTTCATCTCGCTTAAACTTTCTCAGTTCGCTCTTAACTTTCCAAATGTGAGTGACCGTAAGAATAAACATAATCACATTAAAAAGGGTTAAAATCAGCATTGGTCCTTTTAAAAATATCCAATGAGAGGGCCCCTGAACTGTAGACGAAATTAAATATATGGTAATGGCGTAGATACATTTTCATCTTTAATTCAAACCTTCCAGCCTGCATGCAGAGTAGCCAACTAAGGGCATCCAGTTCCATTTATGGAGATCCTTCTCCCAAATTAGATTCAATACATAAATAACTCCTGTTGGAATAGCAGCCATGCTCCAAGCGAAGGCACTGTAGGTGACAAATGAAGAATCCTCAAATCTATTCGTCAATAATTTCCACAAATGGAAGCTAATAACAGAGAACCACAAATAGTTGGCTATGCCGAAGAAGTACCTACTGTAACCTGAAGAAAAAACACAAATGGTATTAGTTTGTCCTATTATGGAGCTCCTATATAAACAAGTTACCTGCTAACAGGCAAATTCGGTTAAATAAATTCAATATCTCCGGTATGGCCATAAAATTCCAAATGAGCAAGCTAAATATGATAGAAATAATGCACTTTCCGAGCACATTCTGAAGCTTCTCAACGTAAAGATACACAATTAATGTGAGGATGTAGAATATTGTGGATATCGCCTTTACTGCAAGTACAGAAACAGAGAAATTTAGGTAACAGCAGAAGTCATAAATGAATACATTTCATTACTCTCGATGGACGCTGGCATCAAATATGCAGTCTTATTGTGTTTAACAACCCAAATGGAAAAGGGATTGTACGAATTAGACTGGGGATACAGGCAGTAATCTTCTTTTGGCCAGATTTGCTTAAAGGTGCGTAAAATTAGGGATCCGTCCTAAAAGGCTTGTATTAGAAATGTCTAGCCTGTTTTCAGAACGCATGACAAACCTTCAACATAACGTAATCATCCGCATTAAGTCTGACCATCTCATCGGTCATTTCAAACTGATCCCTCAACCTGAAATACTCGGAAATCCACTCCACTTCCTTGGTAGTGACCCCTAGTAATACGTCTGCCAAATTCAGAGTAATCTCTTCATTGAAGCCATCGTTACATGTTCCGTTTGCTAACATATCTTTTTTGGGGCAGCAGATTCGGACACAGGGCTCCACCTTACAGACACAGGCTCTGAGGTGGGCTTTTACAGGTTCTCTGGATTCATATCTTATCTTCCTATAATTATATTCCGCAATAAGGTTAGAAGGAATTTCGAGGTCCTGATATATGTAAGTATCGTTGACTTTTTCCAACTCCAAAATATCAACGGTATCGAAATAGTCACAGTTGGGAATATCAGCCGCTGAATTCCCAACTATTGTTAAAATTACAATCGTAACGAACAATTTAAAGTACAGAGACATTTTTATAAAAAACACTTTTTAGCACAAAAAGGTAAACCCGACTGAGTCCCGAAATGCAAGGCTTGCAGCTTTTAAAGCCTTGCCTCGAAAACTAATTACTCTAGCAGTTTTTAGAAGTCGCCAAAAACACAGTCTTAATCATGCCCATGGTAATAATAAAAATTAACAAATTTAAGATTTGTCAAAAACTAAAAGTGCCCTTGGGACCCAAATCTTGTCGAAATAATGTGGTTTTCTTAAAAAAGGCACGATATCAACAAAATACTTAGTTTCTTAAGAAATATTATCCACAAGGGTTTAAAATTGAGACTGAAAAGAGTACATTTTTTCAACCACTAATTATTTAATGACTTCAGCGTATTTCAAATAAAATAAAATAAAATAAAATACCATCGGTTTGCGATGGTGTTGAAATATTATAAAATATTATTATTTAGAAATCGCCTGAAAGTATGAAGTAAAAAATACCGTAAAATATAATAAAATAAAATTATGACATTCTTTTAGATTGTCTAATACATAGGTTTGAAAAACCTCAAAACCTCCTTAAAGGTAAGAAAGGTGCATTTTGGGCAAAAAGTATAGATTACATGATTTTAATTTCCTACCGAGTGTTGAAAATCGGTTATTCCCAGCTTTGGCGGCAATTTTAACTGGATCTGGGCGACTGTGACTTTGTCAACAATTAAGTGCATAACGGATATTTGAGAATAATTCTCCATCAGATGACTCAATAGTCATCCAACAATAAATGCGATGGCCCGATGAAAGTCACGTGATGTCCTCAACTGATAATAATAAATGGCACGTGCTTTTCGCTTTGGTTCCGGCACGCAGTGTCAATTCTGTCGGTCGCGTTTTAATAAGTGTCAATTAGCACTGATATGATTGCCTTTCGATTCGCTATCAGCGATTGGAGGTTTCCAAAAAAAACCGCTTATCAATATCAGACGGACAAGTGATGAGCGCGACTCCCCCGCCGGATTTGGATTTGGGTTCAGAATAGGGGTGATGTAACCATAAATTTCAATTTAATCACAAAGGAGCGTGGGCTATATGTACCTTTCTATATTTTTGAAAGTCCAAAAAATCTAATTTTAGACTAGACTAGACTGTAGAATTAATTTCCGTCTACTGAGACTTCGTTCGAGACGCATTAAAATTAGGAAATAACTTGGGGGATATTCTGTATAGGCGAATTATAATCTTAATAATACGTAGAAATTTAAATTCAAAGATTTCTGTGTCACGACACCCCCAATTAATTTGGGTCTCTGTGTGACTTAATTCCCGGACGGTATTGCGTCACTTTTTTATTCTTTTTAGGAACTAGATTTGCCGTGATACGCGGATAATTAAGTAAGCATAAAAGATAAGATCGGAGTCTAGTTATCTTTGCGATGGACATGTGTAAATTTCCATGCTATTTTTGTATGAACTCTGGTAACTGCGAATTTATTTTTAACCCTCTTGTTTGCCTAACAATTCTTGTTGATGTCTTATTAAAAAAGTATTTTATTTAGATTTGTGACGGGTTCACCCTACAAGGGGTTTCTATTTACAGGAACTTAAATCTTGTTGATTTTCAGATTCACCCTACAATGGGTTCTATTTACAGGAACCCAAAATGTGTAAGAAACACCGAATCATGTGATAATTTCAGTTGAATTCCATGAGTTTGCATTAAGCGTTGGTAATTTCAGCATCCGCTGTTGAAAAACTGCAAATCGACATTGACCCAATTAACATTTGAAATATTCCAGCTAAATCATGACGAGTTTAATGACCTACAGTGAAAACTAAAGGTTCATGTGGGAACTTTTTTAAAGCCCCAGCCTATTATTATCAGACCCAATAGCTAGATTATTTAAAACCTTGGTTAAATCACCTTGGAAAGTCAATGAACCAGGCGAGGGAGTAAACCGCTAGATAGTAAAGTATTCTCGGGTCAGAGATCAAAATGGAACATAATTCAAGTGATTTAATTTGCTGACATAAGCGCACCCATATGACCCATACGCCGTGTTGTACCGCATCGCCTACTAACTATATAGCACACTGATCATAAATCTTGGCTTTATCGGTCGATTTGTCAAAAGCGTGGCACGACCGAAAAAGCACGAAGATTTTTGGGGGGCCGAAGGCTTCAACAACCGACTTGAGTCGGTTCGGTGGAGATCCGTTGAGTTAGTTCGCCGCCAAACCAGAAAGCGTTTAGTAAGAATCCGAGATTGTGCTTAAATTAGCTGAGCAGAAATAAAATTACAAAAAGTTTTCAAGTACTCGAGCACCGGGTGTTTCATCCCCCTCCCTCGAAAACCTGAGCCGAAGTGGGCGGAAATCCACCTCCCCGAAACCACCCCCCAAAACGCCCACACGAACATTAGACTTCTGTCACCTACGAAGTGGAAGAGTCGTCGTCGTCGTCGGTTATTTATTTGTACCTGTTGAATTACCCTTTTTTCCGCGGCGTCGGTCTTCGAGCGCCTATATAAACAAATGCTCCCAACGGATTTGCGTTTATTCTGCATTGTCACACCTAACGGTTAAGATTCGCCAGGCGGAGCAAAAATTGCAAAATATAAAGCTGAAATCAGTGATATAGTTGGAGTATAGCTGAGAAATATTTGAAATATATTTCTGGAACAGTTCATTCATTCAGTAAAAAAGTACAGTTACAGTAAAAAGTACAGTTACAGTGGAAAGTGTTAACCGGAATTAAATAAACTTTGAGATCAAGTGTCAAGAACTAGACTGATCTTGTATAAAAGTTCTATATAAATCGCAGTGATTTTGGAAAAAGGTGAGCTATTATACAACTTATAAGAAAAATATATTTATTTATATTTATTATAATATATTTATAGTTCAGATTAACCATAAAGATTTCTATAATCATTGCATATTAATAGAATTAAATCGAATCATTGAGTTTCAGCTAAATGGCGCCAAGAAAATTACTTTTGCCGCCTTGATAATGATTATTTATATATATTTAATTATTTATACATTATCAGCAGAGATTTTCAGAACTGTCATTGCGGGATTTTCGTTTTTAATTACGTTCCACTCGTATAGAAAATAATTGTAGCCGTCTTATCAGGGCTGAAAATGAAAGGCGAAGTGGAAAAAAGTCTCGTGAATCCGAAAGTATTGCGTAGTTTTTTTTATACCCCGGAGGAGGGGGATTCCAACTTAGATTCAGATAGAGATAACTTTTGTTTACACAGCTCGGGAAGCGAGGAAGAAAAAAGAGGGCGTGTCAGTAGATTTGAACTTATTGTTCTTGATAAGAACGAGCTCCTAGCTCTCCATGTTGCTTGTGGTCCGATACTTTATGACGCTCCCGATGACGCACTTTATGGCGGGCAAATAAAAGAACGAAACCCAACGATTTTATTATTATATATTCCCAGTTTGATGATACGATTTGGGTCATCGAAGTTGAGACCCCCAGCCTAGTTTGTATTTAAATATGTTGCGATTGAATTATTTGGAATTTTTAGCATAGATTAGGCTTTCAATTGCGAACGAAATTAATGATGTTCTAGAATATTTTGAAAGTCATTGGGGAATACTGTTCCGGTTATATCTCCTTTTAGCTAAACAAAACCAATCATTAGCAGTTATTTTAAATATTTTATTATAGGTTAATTTATTTATAATTTTACAATATATCAATTTCATTTATTAAGTAGTATTAATATAACTATATTATATATTCAACAAAAAAGTAAAAATATCTATAATTATGAACTCAGTTGTTCATATTTCTTGCCTGCATAATTAGCAATTTGGTAAGGCCTATTGTGCTACACCTTGTCATCTTGTTATCGCTTATCGCACCGTTCAGTTTCAGTTTTTAATAACTAATAACCCGCCACGTTCGTCATGGGAAACTGTCAAATAAATTGGACAGGTGCCTACCTGAAAATGTACTAAATATTTATGGTAGTTTAGCACTATGTTTATGGGGGGGAAAAGACCCACCCCAGGGTTCAATGGAACCTCTACGCGCGAGGCCTTGACTCCAATACCAAAATAGAGATGACTTTTGGCGATCCCCAGCAAATTGGCCACGACACCAGTGCATTATCAGCATTTCTTAATTTTTTTTGCTTTTATAGGGCCATTAAAATGCGTTTGGCCAGCGATTACTCGACGACATAAATTTCCGATCGAGATGAAAAAGCCGCTGACACGATCGCCAAAGTTTATCGCTTGCACAGGCTTTAAAAGTGGTACAAAAAAATGGAAGAAAATCTGGCTCGGTCGGCAACAACAAATAATGGAAATAAAAAGTACTTTTTCGTTTGTTTTTGATCATAAAGTGGCAATAAATGAAAAATATGCTGGGCAGTAAAAATATAAAGAATGATATGTAGGGAAAAAGAGTGAGATAAAAATGCTACTAAAAAGGTAGATAAGATGTAATCTAAATTTCTTTATAACTTCCAATAAACGTTGATATGTACAAAGAAAGAATCATATAAGTATAATTTTATCATAATAAAACTTATTATGTTGTATAATTCCCATAATTACATTTTTAAGTTTATTCTTTTAATTAGTTTCCCAGCTCGTTTTAAACTCCTTCTTTTAGTTTAAATAAATTTACCTCCTGCTCATGAATGAGCCACCCATTTGTTAAACCATTCATTCGTTTGCTAACCACCTCAAATGACTTGTAATTTTTAAAAGTCATGGACTATCCTCCCCGAAACCGAAATGAACCCACACTCCTTATTTGATAATGAGCTCGCTGGTCACCTTTAGCCTTCCTTTCCGCTTATTCGCGACGTCAAAGCTTGAGCTTAATTAGGCATTAATATTTCATAAATGTCAATTACGAGGGGCATATCCTCTTCCCCTCTTCCCATTCAAAACCCACTGATGACCCGTGTCCGCAGCATATCAAGTGATGATATTGCAATGTGACCTGAATCCGTGAACTCGAATCAAAAGAAGCCCATCGTCGGCTGTATTTAGAACAAGCTTAAGAAAGCCAAAACTTTTAACTGGAACACGGCCAACTTGTTGGCCAACTGCAACGTGACTTATTTGAAGTACCCAACACCTCGAGTGGGCCGAAACCCTTGGAACCCCTTGAAATATTTACGCATTTTTCTACTCAGCCTCTGCCACAATTCGTTTGGTTTTTGTTTTTGCCAACTTGTGTTGTTTGTAATAGGAAACCCTTTGCGTAAGCATTGAAGAAGGGTTCTGGAAGGTCCTAGAAATGGAGAGGGATGGAAGGGGGTGGCAGGGTCATGTGTTTCGGGGGTGGACGCCCGTGCATTCCTGCCTAATTATTCCAGGCAAAATGTTGTTTACACTTTAAACTCATTGTTTTTGATAAATAAAATTCCGTTTAAATTTTTAAAATATGAGATACTTTTTTATGAAGGATTTTTTGGTTAATTTATAATAGGTATTTTGCTTGATTATTTTGTCCCTATACATACGTATTTACCAAGTTACTTTAATTTTTTTCATTTTATTAAAATAATAAATACCCATTTTAACTCTAAAATAATTATAATTATTTTTAAAAAATATTACTCCATTTAGTCCACTTATCCATTTAGTCTCTAAAAATATGTATATACCAAGATCCTTTTGAATATAAATAAATTTAAAATTTAATAAAAATACCATAGATCAATAATAATGTTTCGATTTCTTTTTAATTCTCCGCAGTTCAAGATGTCAGCCGTGTCGTCGCCCACCACATGTGGTTGCTCGCCTGTCCAGTGGGCATTCATTGTCATTGTGCTCCTGTCAATGGCGATTGGACCGGGAAATGCCATGCCCCGTTCACCCAGGAATACGCAGTTGTTGTTCAGTGAGCTTCTGGGTGGCGGAAATGAGGACAACAACTATTATGGCGAGCAGTTGGTAAGAGCAGGCCCCCCATTTATATCAAAACTAAAGAAAACTAAGCCACATTATTCTACTTTTAACTTCCAGAAGTACCAACAACAGCAGCAACAGGAGCAGAAACAGCAGCGATTGCCTTCCTTTGCCAGGAAATGGCCTTCGCTGAGGGATCTCCTTTTAACAGCCGACTACGATGACTTTGGAGTTACCCAGGAAAGTGAGGAGCAGGATTCGCCGAATTCCCGTCTGCTGGCCCGACTCCACAAGCTCGGAGATAATGGAGGTGGCGATGAACTGCGCTATAATGTCGTCAACGATCTGACCAATATGCCCAGCAAGAAGGTTGTGCCAGGACATTCGCTCAAGGAACACAACACCAAGAAGAATGTTCAATGTGAGTACTTAATATAAATATTTATTAAAGGGGAATTGCGATAATTAAGATTAATTAAGATTTTTATAGAATGCCCAGAAAAAAGCATTTTTATAGATTTTAAGAAACATTTAAAAATAATTGTAATCATAAAAAGTACTCTTATTTAATCAAAATTATAATAAAATATTCTGCTATTTCAAGGCAGTTATTATCATAATAATTAATATTATTCATTACAAAATTTGTAAATTAATTTAAAAATTTGTAACTTTATTTTTGGGTATTTAAAAAAATCTGGTAAACTTTTCTTTAAGTCTTTCAAAATTTCATAAAAATCAATTTATATAAATGTGGCATGATTAACTAATTTATGTTTTCGGTTTGTCTTATTTTCATGTGTTTATTTTCCGATCCCAAAATTAGTTCGTAAACAATGTAAGTGTTGCATGAAACCGTGAGTCTAAAACCTGGAAAAAGTATATTAAAGATTTGTTTTTCCCTCAGATATGTCGCCTTGCCACTTCAAGATCTGCAACATGGGACGCAAACGCAACGCCGGCTTCAACCCTTACTGAAGAGAAATAATGCTAGAAAATCCGAGAAGCAAAATGCCATACCAAAGTAAAATAAACCCTTTCAAAGAAAAATAAGAATTTGCATTGTCACAAAATCTGTTGAACGAATGTTCAAATGCCAAGTATTGTCTACAGATCTAATTTTAATTAGAAAAATTCACGCAGAATTTAATTAGAAACTATGATTACATTGTATTTATAAAATATGTCTCGACTTACACACACACACCTCTGCTCTCTGCAAATTGACACACACACACACACACACCTACACATGCACATGTCCACACCAAAGTATTTCCATATTAGTTATAAATATAATTATTATCTATGATTCTTGTTGTATTCGAAATACATTAAATAATAATAACCAACACAATGTTGTTAGATATTAAGCCAAAAATTACATATTACAAAGAATATTTATTGAAAAGCAAAAAACAAAAGAAAAACAAGAATGATATGTGGCCAAGTTTCTTGAATAAATGTTATATGATTATAGTATTCAAGGACCCGAAAAGGTGGTCCACTAAATGTTTTTGAGCCCAATTAAGTATTCAAATGTTTGTGGGACTAAAAAGCTTTCACGGAAAAATATAGAGCATGTTTTTAGGCTTTGGTGAATTATTTTTTTACACCGCGGGGTAACTTTGAATTTTACAGATTTGTAAAAATAAGGAGACATATTAATTAGAAAGTATTCGCTTTTAACCAGTGGCGGATCCAGGATTTATTTGTAGTTTTCAGCAAATTTTGTGGCATACTTTTTGAATACCACATTGCCTTTAATTTTTCACTTGAGTGGAGGATGCTTTTAAACTTTATTTCTATAGATTTTTTGTATCAATATGGATATATTTATTTATTTATTTTAGTAACTTAATTTAATTTATTTTATTTATGCATTGCTATTAATTTTTCCATTCATTGCTTACCGGACTTTGATTCTAACAGAGGTAGGTATTGATTATTCTTGGTTAATTGATCTGCAACATTTTTATTGGCACTTTGAGCAAATCACAGACACCGATAAAAAGTTAATTAAAGTGTGTGATTACTTGTATTTAAACGACTTGATTGTTTTTTTCGTGGTTAGCCCCTTTGACGCTAATTATATATTGATTTACATATTGACTTGGTACGAGATCAGATCAGTCTTGAGAATGAAGATATCTCTATGGATCTAGGTAGAAAAGTCTCGAAATTTTATGAATGGCTCATTCCAACCATACAGAACTTGTTATTAACTCTTATAAAATCACGCAGCCAGCTCTGTTCGCAAATCCAGCATGTGTTTATGGTTCGCCCGACCTCCAGGTGGCGATTGCAAAGGCCAAGTGCCACTGCAATTTGTTGAAAAGTCAGAAGCCGAAACAAAATCTGCAATCCAAAATTCGATTCTGGTGGGTGTAGGTAGACGGAACCCCAATACGGAACCCCGTCAGGATATGAAATATATAGAAGTCGATCGCGTTTATAGTTGGCTACGGCCACTTAATGTCATGGCGGCGCCGTTGGCCATTAAAAATCAGCGTTGAAATAAAGCCAACTGGCAGTAGTAAACGCCCAAACGCGTTCGCTGGCTGTGGGAAAAATCTGAAAAAAATCTAAATCCGCAGTTACTATAGTTTTTTGTACTATTACAATTTCAATTTCAATGGATTTGTTCTGCTGACGTAGCAGACCACTCGCGACCTTCGGCTGTGCCTCACATTTAGTCTATATTTACAGATATATATTTGCTCTTTAACACGTTTACACGAAATGCATTTCGATTTATTCGCAATTACCGAGCAAGCGGCATTCGCTTTCAAGTGATTCATGCCCAGCCATAACGATATATATCTATATCTATGGGTAGTTCTATGTTCTATTCGAATGCAAATTCTATTGTAATTAAACGTGCTACAATCGCTCGACAAATTGCTTGTGTCTACTGATCTCCGGAATTATGAATGCAACATTTCAATATAGAGATCTCGGCTAATCGGTAGTTGGCGTGTAAATATATTTACAACTTATTTAAAAGCTTCCCACGAAGATGAGTGAAAATTGAGTGGCATCTGATGACTGGGTGGAGTAATCAACGTGGAATTCTAGGAGATTATAGATTGCGACGTTATTTAAAAAATTTTAAACCAAACCGAATAATGTTTCTTTAATTCTTAAGATACTTGTTTGGTAATTAATATAAGTTGTTAATAAAATGGTTTAAAATGTACACAAAAATTTACAAATTATGGGAAATTATTAAAAAGTATTCAAAATTACTAAAACTGAATAAAATCAAAAATTTTCAAAGTGGAAACAAGAAAACACAAAAATTCAGGTCATTATAAAGTTTAAGTGAATTCAAATGCAATTTTCCAATCATTTTTAAAGTTATAATTAATTAGTAATTATTGCCAAAAAATTATTAGGAATTATTTGAACCAAATCTAAATTTTTAAATATAACCAATTTTCGAATCATTTCGATAGTTTTCCGAGCACCATTAATCATGATCTGCTTAGCATGCTGGCTGTTTTCCTTGGCCCCTAACTAATTTACCGTCTGCATAAAGCTCGCAGCTCCCCGTCGGGAAATCTGAGATAATTAAGCGCTAAACTGTTTAAGAGGTTTACGAGTCTCAAAAAAATTTCAGGGTCAGCCCAATTGATCAGCGAACCAGAGAGCCAAGCTGACGAAAGTAAAAGTAAACAAAATAGACACTTAATTAAGTTAATTCAGTTGTTAAAGTCGCGTGTTAATTGAACTTTCAAAAGCACCAGAAAAATCACCTGACTTCAAAAAGTTGGGCACTTCAGAACCAAATTGAAATCGTAACATTAATTGCCGGGGGTTCAAGTGGATGGGTGGGGATCGTGGCATTTCTCACACGCTAAAACCATAAAGCTCCATACTCCATACTCGAAAAACTGAATCCGAAAAAACTGACTCAATCGTGTGAGAAAATTGTGGCTGCAACTGTGAAGTTGCAACTGCAAGACAATCGCAATTGTTTATACGTACTGGGTGCTGCACCAGATATGCGCGGCGGGTTTTATTATTATTGTTCCTCCGAAACGGCATTGACAAGGCCACACTTTTCGACGATGATGAAGTGGCTATGGTCTCGGCCTCTGGTATGAGGCGCTCATGGGGCTCATGTGAATGCCCCGGGCGAAATGTGTAATTTATATTGCCGGATTCCTAAATGCAATGAAGCCATAAAGTTTTCGGGCAACGGGCTACCGAATTCCGCTTGAAAATGACTGAAGAAAACTACAATTAGTGGTGAATTAACCTGAAAATAATCCATAATTTAACAATCGTAACGATTTTGGGCAAATAATTTTATTAATGCATTTAAAAAATCAAAACAAATTATATATCGAAATCATTCGAATTAATATCGATCACAAATTATTAGGAACGATTTGATATTTACAGGTTTTATTCATTAATTAAAAAAAATTCGTTTTAAAAAGTATTTTAAATTGTTAAAACTATGAAAAACAATTGTGAAATTCCTTTTTTTACAAAATAAAATTAGGGAAATCAGTTTATTGGGATTGTACATTTATTTCAAGATATTTTTTCAAGAGAAGTCTTATAAAAAGCGAGCATTAAAATTCAATAAAGCTAATGAATGACAAGATAATGAGACATTTTAGTTTATTAATACATTTTTAATTTAAATATTATTTAGTTTTTAATAACTAAATAATATTTTGCAGTAATCTCTTTTTTATTGTGTCCAATAAGCACGTGCCACAAATACTTTACCAAATCATTGAATTGCCGTCCGAAATTTTCATTCATTCATTGGCAACAGAATCGTGCGTAAACGCACAACTCGTTTGGCCTTAATGTCAACCCAGATGGCCAAGAGACGGCGAGGAAAATCCATAAAAAAGGCACATAAATTTGCAGCAATTGAAAGCTGGCCAAAGCGAGTTTCCTCATGAGACGTGGAAATTCAAATCTCCGCTTCGGCGGCTCTGAACTTGACACAAATTCGCAGCCATCGTTGAGCAAATGAACTATTTGCGAGCCGCAACATTGCAAAAGTGACACAATTAAGGCAGAGATACATAGCCTATGGCTAATTACAGCGATTGCCACAATTGTGGGCCATTAGAGAGACCATCCCATACAATACCATTACCATATGGGGGTACCATTAATCATCAATCGCGAACGGGGAGTTGCATTCGCGTTTCTCACACACAAATCAACAGGCGAAGTGGCGGAAAAAATGAATTGCCTTTTAATATCGAAACCGAAAGTGAGCTGAGATTATGAGCTAAGAACGAACAGTCGATCAATTTTGGTCAAGATTTTGTCTATAATTTATTTATTATGATTTGTGTCTGCACGAAATTGAAATGGTATACGAGGTGTGTTGGCTTGCGTGGCTATTGTTTTTCCATATAATTAATGATCTATTAGGTGGGGGGTACCAAAAAAAGCAATTTAAATTAGGGTCTTCAGCTTCCGCATTTTTGCTTCTAATGATGATTTGGTCTGACTTTTTTCAGGCAAGCTCACACAAGATGTCAACTCAATTTGGCCTGGCAACCCATCAACGCAAAAGATTTAATTATCATCTCGGCCTGTCGTCTGCAATCCCAGTGAATTGTGAATTGGAGTGGCGTGAATTTCGGAGTCTCTGGGGATTTCTTCGGTTTTTTTCACTCGTTTTTGCTTGTTGCCGGCATCAAAATGATGGCTAATTGTTATTTTTGCATATGCAGGCAGGCGGCTGCTTGCATGTCGTTTGATTAGACACCAAAGGGGGGTGACAGGGGGTGAGGCAGAGTGAGAGTGGGCCTTACATAATAATCTAGTTAACAAATTGTGTCATGTGGCGCTATGTAGCTATGTGGAGCTAGCCGAGTAACCGAGTAACCGACTCTCAACTGTCTCAGTTTGCGGCCTGCATCCAGCAGCTGCAACTTTCGAAAGCGTTTTGCCGCTTAGTCTCGAGTGAGAGAGAACAGAAACCGCCTTACATAATCCCAAAGGGGCGAGGGTGTTGGCCTACGACTCTACGGAATAAAAAAAAAATCATTAAAATATTTAAAAATAAATAATCCTCGGCCAGCAATCTAAACTTCAAACTATGCATAATAAAACCTCACGAATTCAGCCACCCACTGTCCCTGTTCGGGCGCCATCACTCCTCCCGCGTCCCTGCTCGGGCGCCATCTCACC